ACTCATTCAAAATTCTTAATTTTTATTTGCAAACGAATGTTAGCATAACTGAGGATCACTATAAGGCTTTGAAAAAGGCTCTTTTTACTAAAAAAAACAAAAAAAAATTAATATTCCAAACCCTTATTTCTGAATATTTTACTTCACTATAACTTCTGTGCTGTATTTGATTTCAAATAAATAAATATCTTAAAATTTAATTCTAGTTTCTTTCAAAAATAAAAAAAATATTTTTTAACTCGAAGTCTCCATAAGTCGAACCATTTATTTGCAAAATGGTACTTCAAGTTATAAAAGTTTGACTGCATATTCACATTTGCATCAAATAATTCGAATAAAAGAATATCCATTTTTTTATCAAATAGTTCAAATACTAAAAAAAATAATTCGAACAATTCAGAAACTTTGCTGTTAATTTTTAAATTCATAAATAAAATAAAATAAATTATTAATTGATAAATTAATAAATATATTATGAATAAATTATAAATGGTTTGCAGATAACTATGAAGTATCATATTATAAATTCATGAATTTATTTGTCATGAGGTATAAGACCCCGCAATATCTTTCATTATAATTCGATTACATTCAGCTGGTCCCAACATCCCGTTCTATAATAGTGGCTTTCGCGATCCCGGTTATAGACTCTATAAATAGCGTATCAACCTATTTCGTCCTTAATTATTCGTCATGTTTTCTGACTTAAATGAACTTGGTTTGCAAAGTACTAAGTCTGTTCACCCCCTAACTCTCCCTTTACTACTCGAATCAAATTTCCAGCACCATTACGTTCAAAGTCAAAGGCTGGAATCTTCATTATTCATTTCTAAGAGATAGTTTTAATGAATTAAAACTTCTCACCACACTCGGGCTCAAAATTATAAAGTACGCCCTATTTTAAAAGTTTGAAGGAAATATAATCTATATAATAACATAAATGGATTGAAGGAACTCACATCATTCGGTTAATAGAATAACATAAGGCAAACAAAAAAGTGTTTGACATTTCTAGTTATTATCACCTCGATAGTCATAAATCAATAATTGTTTATGTATCTCATAAAGCACACATTTCTATCCATAAATATTTAAATTTTTTTTTTACTACTTCATATACATTCTATGTTTCTGAACAAATAAAAATATTCTAACGATAATAATATAAAGAAAAATGAGTGTTTATCAATTAATATTTACATAAAGCATTTTGTAGCCGGGCCTGTTGTTAGTTTGTCACGTTCAATTATTCTAAATGAATAATAATTGGCGAATAAGTTTACTCTAACAACAAACATTGTAAACAATGTCTATAAAATATATATAAATTTCTGTGTATATATTTATGTAGCAATATATTTATATATACATAAGTCTATATTTCCATAGAGAACTTGATTTTAAAGATGTCAAGACTGAAATACGATCACTCAGACTACAAAAAATAATAGATAAGATTTTTATGGACACAAATTTAGGGTTTCGTAGCAAAGGGGTTAAAATTATTAAAAGTCTTAGAAAATTGTCTTTATACATATATATAACTTGTAAATATAAATACTTATTGCAACCATAATATATGACAATTATATTTATACTATTGAGCATAGTTCAATTCTGTTTATTATTGATAAACAATGATCTAGTCAAGGTGTAAAAAGGGGTTTTGAAAATACCTCGAGTTAAAAAAGAGTATAAGTGCTTAAGTGCACTAGCTCAAAACAGCTTCAACATAATAATCAAGTTTTTTATTATAATAAAATTATGCCGGTTTAAAAGGTGATCTTTACCCAATGTTCACTCGTTTAAGAGAGCTATGCGACCCCAAATGGGACTATATTGATCTCATAAATGCTGAAAAATTGATTTTAGAAAAATTGTCCGCACAAAAAACAGTTATTAATAATAATAGCTGGTATATATCTCAACATTTGCAAAATGTTATTTATAATATAATACATTAATATAAAAAAAGTTTTATCTAGTTATATAAATATAAATAAGAGTAATAATACGAGATTACTTCCATAAATGCTATATATATTCTATTACATAACTTCCCATTAATACACATGTGTACATAATATATATGCTATATAATATATAAAAGTTAAAAGTTAAATATATCCAGGAAATTCAAAAAACTGAAGAAAGTAATTCCCATGAATCCTATGGATTACTTGACACGCTGCCTCAAGTAATCCATAATCCAAGTGGTCAATAATAAACTTATTATTATAAGTTGTTAACAATAAATAATATTGTGTTTATTATCGCGTGTTTCTGATTACTAGAATGATGCTTACATAACATCATTACTATGCAAAAATTTGTTAAATAAATAAAAATAAATATTAAAATTTCTTTAGATATTTTATGTTTATATTTATACACATATACTGGGTGTTATATTTTAAAGTTATTTACTTTGAATAGTTATTCATGAGAGGGTCGTGATTTTTTAATATTGGTCGATATAAAGGCTGTCAAAGATTGAACTAATCAAAGATATCTTTAAATCACATGGCCACTTAATCTTGAGCTAAGGAATCATATGAAAGAACATAAATCTTTAAACGCTAATCTCCTATGTCAACGAAGGTTGACTTTATAATTTTTTATCACTTCAATTTTTATAACCGATGATAGGCAAAAGAAGTCACCTATGCGCACCTTGAACAAAATACAAAACCCTACCAGCTAACCCCCTAAGCCTAAGATAAAGCAAACATGCTTTATCCAAATAGTTTAACCCATAATTTAAATATTTAATTTAATGATAATCCATTAAACATAATTTAAATTGGTATCAGATATGTCTATATACTCGTATAGGTCCAAATACTTCGTTGGTGTGAAATTAATTTTTTTTTGAAGTTTTGTTAAATTTTTAGATGATATTAGTTATGTGAGATCCAGTGTGTGTGTGTGTGAAAATTTTTTAATTCTGAATTTTTGTATATAAAGCCTTATTAATTTCCAAAGTTGCTTTTCTTTATATAATATTTTTTCTTTATATATAACTTATAATATATAAATTTTATATTCTTCATAGACATTTTTTCTATATATATTTTTTTTTATCTTTCTCTCGTCATGAGTGTCTTCTACTTTTTAAAATGGAACGCAAGAATTTTTTTATTAATACTAATAGACTTAGATAAGTTTGTGTTTTTTATTATATTGAAAAAAGTGGTCGATTTTTCGAATATAGACAAATGGATCAAACTAAAATCTCCTACATATATACGAATCAGTTAGAAAGAACACTATATAGCACACACATCATGTCACTCCATTGGTTAATTTCATCAAAATGAACTAAGGAATAATTTCTTACATTCTTACATACAATTTATTTAGTAAACACCCTGTATTGCAATCCATATTATGTCACTCTATTCTTCAATTTGATCGAAATCAACCAAGAGATCATCTCTTGCATCTCCCTATGTATATGCCTTTATCCTTCATTTAATCTAAGCGTACCAAGGAACTAATTCCCACATTTATGCCATTTACTTAGAGAACACCCTATATATATCACGCCATTTTATTCTTTTATTTCATCGAAGTAGAATGCACATATTAATGTATGTGTGTACGTATGTGTGTGTAACTTTTCTTTAACTATCATATAAATTAAATTCTTTGAGGTCCTTTAAATCTTAAAGCACATATTAGTGTTCACATTGCTAATTACTATAAAAATTAAAGGATATTAATAAACAATAAGCCTGAGTTTAGTACAAGCAATATTTATTTGCTTGGACTTGAAAATTTTAATACTAAACATTCGTCACTATCCTAAGAATTTTGCCACGTCCGTTATATTTCACATTTGAATTCATTATTTTATAAAAAAGTTAATTTTTTTTTAGTTTTTACCTAAATTAAGTCAGATTTTTTCTTTATAAGATTATTAGGTATCGCCACGCCCTACACTTTGCTTTAAAAATTACATTTTCGTTAAATTATGGGAAGCTTCATTTATTTATGAAAAAAATCAAAAAATTGTTAGTATTATTTAGTTATTAATTGATTAAAATTTAAATTATTAAAATTTAATCTTACGATATATTTTTTATACATATAGTATTCACATCCTTTACATCCTGGCGATACAGGCTTGATAGCACATTTCAGTTTCAATTCACTCACGTCGAAATTTTATCACACTGTATTTAATATTACGTAAATCACATATTTTTGATAATATATATTATATTATAAATATTTTAAAAAATTAATTAAATAGCAAATAATCCTAGTTAAAAAAAAAGAATCCTAACAATCAAAGGATGACATGAGTTATTTTTCTTAGATACGCATATCCTTGAGAAATTTAATCCTATATTAGGAATCCTCTTTGGTAAGAATTAAAATTTTTCTGATATAACATTTGTGAGAGATATTTTAAATAAAATTTTAATATAAATTTTTTTTTGCTACTTAAAGTCCTTTAAGAGGTTAGTTAGGGTCTAGTGAGCATTTTGCGCAGTAACCACGTCATTTACTCAGTTCTTGCAAAAAAAATTTGACCTAAAGTTTGCTTTATATTATAATACATTATATATTATATACTCTTAGGTATATATGCTTATTATATATTATTTAATTTTACATAAATTATAATTATTTTTATTTGTCTTTTACATTATTTTCATGAAAATCCTTTTATCATTTCATTGCCATTGAGTATTTTTTTTCAAAATTGCTTATCAAATTTAGTTAAGTTTATTTAACAAAAACATCGTCGCTAAATGCTGATTACGTAACTTCTAACAGGTGGACGGACTGATATGCTTAAATGCTTAAAAAAATATTAGAACAATTTTTTTTAATAAAAAATTGCTAACGTGTACAAAACATTCTGTCCACAAATTGCTGAGTTGGAAAAATCACTTTAAAAAGTTATTAATTCTTGAACTCCACACCTAACAATCCCCAACCCCCACTCTCTAAGTTCTACTTATCAAATCAGGTTTCATCCCACTTACCGGTTTCCTTCATCATCTTCTCATCGTCAGTCAAGAAGGTTAGTGGAGGCATGGAACCAGCGCCAGTGGACATACATTGTTGCTGACGTTGTACGGCGTTAGCGATCTAAATCCAATAAAAAAAAATTTTTTTTAATAAATAACCCAAAAAATTTCCATTGTTTTTAAATTAAAATAATTATTTGGACCACAATAAGAGTAATAAATTTAATTAATTAATATATAACTTTGAATTTACCAAACGCATGGGCAGTTTTTTTAAGCAATTCATTTTCTTCTCCTTTTTAATTAATTAATAAAAATACAAAAAAAAAACAATTCAAAATATCAAATAGCAAATATTTTCTGCCTCAAAGCTCCAATTTGCACACAGCCACTGTCGACTCCACACGTACGACTGATTGTGAAAGATCTTCCAGACCAACATACCGCATAAGTGCTGAGCAAAGCATATAATCCAAAACACAGAACACAAAATCCAAAAACAATAAACATTCAAAAAGCAACAAGCAGCAAGCGTTGTGTAGGCAATCAGATCGCCTTGTTATAAGCTTCGAACGTTGTGCTTTACCTTCCACAACCTACTACTCATACACAATTACATCCACTCACTGTATTTACCCAGCGGGACTTTCAGCGCTGAGGGAATCGATTCCCTCAGCGCTGAATGGTAATGCCTAGCGCTGATTATTCAAATGAAACTCCTAATTACTTTAACACGTGCATGTCATTGCGGGCAAGCGCTGAATCGTTCGATTACCTTTTCAAATTTGTAATGCAACATTTCAGCGCTGACATGCTCGCTTACCTTTTCGAATTTGTAATGCAACATATCAGCGCTGACATGTTCGCTTACTTTTTCGAATTTGTAATGGAACATATCAGCGCTGACATGTTAGCTTACCTTTTCGAATTTGTAATGCAACATATCAGCGCTGATATGTTCGCTTAAATTTTCAATTTTACCTATGCTATTAATTTTTAAATAAAATACTATAAATTTTTTTGAATAAATTATATTTTATATTTATGTTTTATACAATTAAAATATTAATATTAACATAAAAAAATATAACATACTTATATAGATGAATATTTTTCTGGAAATTGTTACTAACACCTTGAAGAGATTTCCAGACTCGACTTGATCACTTGTTCCGGCTTACCATCTGTACTTAAAGCATCTGTAAATACAAAAGTATGTTATTGTATACGCTAAAGTTAATTATGTACAATATACCATACCAAAAAGTGCTGCTGTCACATTCTCTAACGCTCTTAAGGACTTCTTGCCTTGGGTACCATTCTCCAAAATTCCAGGAAATTTTTCGCGTAATTGATTGTTTTTTAATAACGCGTCTCATTGATGCAGTCTATAAATAACGTAATAGATGAAAAGAAATGTATGAATTAGTAAAATTGTTACATGTGAATATATTAATAAGTTGAAATTGAAAGTAAGAAAACATATATAATTTAACTTACAACTACTTCAACTGCAGTGATTTCTTCATTAAATTGAATTAAATCCTCCTCAGTTTGAATTGTAAAATTTTCCAATTGAAACAGCTGACTACATGACTACAGCTGATTACCCCTTGCTTTAGAATGACTGCATTCGCAGCACATTGGTCAATTAATCGTTCTTGACGCAGTAGCTTCTACATAATACAAAACAAAAATTACAATTATCATTTTAAATATATTTACTTAATTTTCCATATACTTACAGTGAGTTTATGTGAAATTACAAATTATATTTTATTTAAATTTTTGTTTTTTATTTGATTTTAAAAATTAAAAATTGTTCACTGTTCGCACTTCACTAAAATCAAAAGCAGACTAAATGTATACAATGTAGGCAAAACAAGAAATTCTTAACTCATATGCTTTTCTTCTTCATTCTTTTATAATTTCAACCCCGAAATTGCCTATGTCAAACACAAATGTCGAAAACAAAGAAAAATAAAAACGAAGAGCTATTACCTCCTCGCTTACTTTTTCAGCGCTGGCATAATGGTGCCGCTGGGTACATTGTAGCATCCAAAAGTTGTGTGCGTGTGTAAGTATAAACAGCGATGGTGGAGCAAGTTTGCAAAGCTGCCGAAACTGGAAAGAATGCCATGCGCTTTCATTTGCTTTAATTTAATTTAAATTAATTTAAACTAACTTAAATTAATTTTAATTTATTTAAACTAAATTAAACTAACTTTAATTAATTTTATTTTTTAATTCAATTTATAAGCTTTAAATACATTAAAGTTTAGCTAAACTTGTAAATAAAATTAATGGTAGTCCATGACACTTTTATTTTTAAGGGTTCAATTCAATGCTTAGGCCGTGTGCGAGTTCGTGTAAATTGATGGTAAATTGAAGGAAATAGTTTTAAAAATATTTAAATATTTATGAATGAAAGTCTTCACAAATGCCAACGTAAGTGTTGGAAAAGATTGTTAAAAAATAATAGTGGGATATTATCATTTTTACACTAAGGTCGTGTGCGAGTTAGGCTAAGTTGCGTTCTAAATGAGGGAAATTCTAAGTTGTGTCGATAATGTATTGATGAGTCGATACGTGTTGAAAAATGGCAAAACGTGTGCAGTGCAAAAAATCCCAAAAAATCTCCCATTTGGTTTAGCATCAACTTAGCCTAACTCGCACACGACCTAAATAAATGTATGACTTGAATTGCGAGAAACGTAATAATTCATTAAATCTAATTTGTTTGACACAGATCAGGATTGTATATAGAAATAAATTAAAAATAAAAATAAAAGTTATACATTATTTTTATTAAAAATTATTTCATAAATCAAAATAAACATCTGAAAGATCTACTTCTAACGCAGTGATGTTTCGATTTACTATAATAAGTCAATGACAGATTAAAGGTATGATATCCAGTTAATAATAATAACCGTTTTTTTTTGTTAATTAATTTGAAATAATCATCATTAAATCACTAATGTATCAGTTAGTAACCGTATTAACTCAGTAAAATAGTTTCACTTTACTCGTAATTTTGTTAATAATTATATTTAGGACGTGTGCGAGTTCGAGTAAATTGATGATAAATTGAGGGAAATTTCAAATGCAACTATGCGTAAGATAAGTTTTAAGCAAAATATAAAGTTGAGATAACGAAATAGCGACATTTTTTTAAATAAATGTTAGTGACAATTTATTTTAATAAAACTGAGAAATATTTTGAAAGCAGTCCAAATTTTTAAATTTGAATATAGACAAAGAACTGTAACTGTTATGAATTTTAATAATTCACATACTTAAAATCTATTAAAACTAATAAAACTACTGAATACTATCCTTTATAGTTATAATAATCAACTTTTAAAATTTGCCAGATGCAAATGCTGTTTGGAGCATATAATTTTTAACATTTGATTTGTAAACAGAAACAGAAACATATGAATTCCTTAATTTGGGACAGTATGATCACTTTCGAAACAATAACAATACAAGAAGTTACCGTGTTTTTTAATTTAATTAAGAATAAATGAAAAGAATAAATTTTTCACACGGGAAATTATCGAAGTTTGACAAATGAAACAAAATGTAAATAAAGAAAAAATTAACAAGTCAATCAAACTAAAAATAAAAATTTAAAATATGTGTGTTGTATAAATGTGATATTTAATTGATATATAAGAATATATAAATGAGTTTATATATCAAATATATATATTATATCTTTATACAATATCATATTCTATTTCACAAAATATATTTACTTGTGCATTTCAATTCCATATCAATAAAGAAAATAGATACGAGCTCACAGGTTTGTATTATAAATTTATAATTGGTTTTTAATTTAATAAACCAAAATTAATTTTGTTTAATTTTAAACAAAAAGGTATGCATATGCACTTATAAGGCCGTGCGCGAGTTCGAATAAATTGAAGTAAAGTAATTAAAGTAAAGTAAGGACTTTTTGCACTGCACTTATGTAAATATTTATTAATGTATTTATTGCATTTATTTATTATTTTTGGTTCAAGGTTTTCAAATTTATTTATTTATTTATTATACATCTTATAAAATGTTCACAATGGTAACACCTAATTTACCTAATTTTTATTTAATTTACCCTACTCCAAATTCCGGTAAATACCAACATTTGCTGCCATTTCGACATAATTTACTATTTCCTCCAGTTTGCCATTAATTTACCCGAATTCCCACACGGCCTAAATATCTAAACATAATAATGTTAAATATTCTTCACCAATTTTCTATTTTCACAATTTTAAACCCTTTTTTAATGAAATGAAGCGCAACCAACTTAACACTTTGTCAGCGATATTCCGCTGAATGTCATAGCCTGACACATTTGTCAGCTACTTCCGACGTGTGAACTGTCAAATTCCTTCTTTTTCGTTGTTTTTACGATAGTTGTTTGGTGTAAGTTTTTCTCTGCTAAATTTTTAATCGCCAAACATCGAGTTTTATGTTAAAATAAATTATGTGAAATAACGCGAAATCATTATTGAATTAATTGAAATTATTAGAATAAGTGAAATAATGACGAATAAGTGCTTATATCATATGTATATTACAAGTTGTAAATTGACAAATTTGTGCGTGTAGCTGAAGCGGCAAAGTCAAGTTGTTTGGAGTTTTTATGTTATCTTTTATATAAAATGGAAATAGAAAATCTAACCCTTAAGAATATTAGATATCTTTACTACATGAAGTAGAAGTCGTCAATATAATTAATCTAAAGCACATCCTTTTGTTGTCGCTATAAAATATGTACACTTTTGTTGTTGGGCACCGCAAGAATCAGGAACCATTATTTTGAATGATGAGCTATAAATCAATGGCAAGCGTATTAATGTGATGTTATCACCAATATTAAAAAAATGCTAACAAGTTTAATATTTTACCAACAAGTAACCAAATATCTTTCTTTTAAACATGTCTTAATTTTTGTTCATTTTATTGCAGTTTGCTCAATTACTCCAAAGGTATCAAGGATTTATTGCCCTTTATTTGCTTCACGATCACAAAATCTCCATGGTTTTTTTCAAGACTAGAGACACGTTGAAACAGATTTTGTGGATGCGGCTTTATTCATTTTATTATAATGATACGTTGTATACCATCGTTTTCTGCAGTAAACACCACACAATATAATCAACTGAAGATATGTAGAAGAATTTCATGTGTCAATGAATCAAAGTTGAAATATTGTTCATTTGTGGTTTTCTGATACAAATCGCTGAGAAGTCGCCTTTAAAACAAATCTTATTTTTGCATTAAAAAAAGTTGCGAATAACTGTGAATCTCTTATCACTTCAGATGAGTATGCCCAGTGCTGCCTCAAATAAAAGACTGGTTATAAAAATTAAATAGCGAATTCCTTTGACAAATCATTTCTACAACAAGACTTCAATGCTGTCGCAACCACTTATATTAAGACCAATAATTTGTCTTCAAGTAGTGCAACAACACAATGACTTCTGGGCATTAAAACTATTCATATGAATAAAAACTTTAAATATTGGTGAACTTTTGAGTTCCAGATCAATCTTTGGTAACATATGCGTTACAGTGTTCAGAATCTCAAGCTAGACTTTAAAAACATTATTGTAATTTATTACAGTATAAGGTTTAATATGTGTATTTGAAGTGGTTGAAACGCCATTTTTCTTCTTTCTGATATTTAAAACAAAAATAAATTAAATCCTATAATGGACACCATATTTTGCAATTCTATCTAAAAAATGTGGACGTAATGTTTTTTATATGTAGAATGAAAGGTTGGAGGCATGCATTTATGAATAAAAATATCTAAATATGTATTCAATTTATAATTTTCCGTCTATTTCTTAAATTTCGTGCTTGCTTTCATCAAATGTCATAATTCGTGATTACTAGTGGAACCGACTTAAATGTTCTCTTAAATCTGAGGAAACCACTTTACTTGCAATGGTTTCAATAGTTTCTTTGCCGGCTTAAGACTTAGTGTTTTTTAAGTCGCGTTTTTTTCGAGTTTAAGTATATAGTATAGTATGGATTCCATATATCTATGGATATAAGTAGAGAAACACCAATTATTTATCTTTACATGTATATTTGTTATTTTATTTAATTTTTTTTATTTTTAATGTTATTTATTTTCTTTTATTTTTAATGTTATTTATTTATTTAATATTGTTTTTATTAATATTTTTTTTCAATATTTTTTTTTATTTAATATTATCTTTTATTTTATTTAATATTTTTTTTTTAGTACTTTTTTTTTATTTAATATTATTATTTTTATTTAATATTATTTTTTTTTTTGATTTAATATTATTTTTTTACTTTGTTAATTTATTTGCTTTTACTTGTTTTTGTTAACATATTCTTTTTTTTCTTAACTTTTTCTTAATTTATTCTTTACTATTTTCAACTTATCCTTTACTTTTTTTCTTAATTTATTCTTTACTATTTTCAATTTATCCTTTATTTTTAATTTATTTTTGTTAACTTATTTTTTAAACATATTTTTTTTAATTTATAGTTTATTTTTTTTTTTAGTCTTGTAAATTTATTTATTTTTTTTGATTTTTGTTAATTTTTTTCTGTTCATTTTATTTGTTTTATTTGCTTTTGTTCATTTTTTTATTGTTAATAATTTTTTTTGTTAATTCTTTATTTATTTTTTTATTTGTTAATTTATTTTTGTTTGTTTTTTATTTATTTTTGTTAATATTATTTTTTTATGTATATATTTATGTTTACTCTTTATTCAGTTTTATTAATTGGTTTTTATTTATTTTTTATTAATTTATTTTTTTTTTTTATTAATTTATTTTTTTTTTTTATTAATCTGTTTATTTTTTATTTGTTTTCCGTAATTTGTTTTTTTTTTGTTTTGTTAATATTTTTTTTAAATTGTTTTTGTTAGTTTTATTTTTTTATTCTTTTTTGTTAATTTTATTTTTTTTATTCCGTTTTGTTAATTTTATTTTTTTTATTCCGTTTTGTTAATTTTATTTTTTATTTTGTAAATTTGTTTTTGTTCGTTAATTTTTCTTACTTAAATTTGGTAATTTATTTATTTATTATTCTGTTCTGTTAATTTTTATATATTTTGATTACTTATTTTTTTATATATACAATTTTGTTACTTTTTGTCCTTATATTATATTTTTTGTTTTTCTTTTGTTATATTTTATATTTAATTATATATTTGTCAATTTTTGTTTTTTTTTTATAATATATTTTTTAAAATATTCTTGTTTTTTTATTGTGTTTATTTTTTGTATATATTTTATTTTTATATTTATTTTATTTATTATATCTTTTCATTAATTTTTTTTTAATATTACAAAATCACAATACTTATCATAAAATAGAGACTGCATATCAAAATTCAACTATTCGATGATTTTGATATTACATTAAAATAATACTTTTAACTAAAGTTGAAAATTCTGAAAATTGATTCTTTTGTAAATTTACATACTTGCAATAATACATAAATTTCACATAATATGTTTTAAAAAATATGTTTATATTTTTTTTATATTAATTTCCATTATTCATTTTTATAGAGAACACAACGCCACAATATGAAAACAAACAGATTCGTTTCATCTTCACGCAGGAAGAATCGTAAGCGTCATTTCCAAGCTCCATCCCATATTCGTCGTCGTTTGATGTCATCTCCTCTCTCAAAGGAATTGCGTCAAAAATATAACGTACGTTCAATGCCCATACGTAAAGATGATGAAGTGCAAGTAGTACGTGGTCATTTCAAAGGCAACCAAGTTGGTAAAGTTGTACAATCCTATCGTAAAAAATTTGTCGTTTATATCGAAAAGATTCAACGTGAAAATGCCAATGGCACAAACGTTTATGTTGGTATACATCCATCCAAGTGTTTAATTGTTAAATTGAAATTGGATAAGGATCGTAAGGCAATTTTGGATCGCCGTGCTAAGGGACGCTTGGCTGCTTTGGGCAAGGACAAGGGCAAATACACAGAAGAAACTGCGGCGCAACCAATGGAGACTGCATAAATGCATAATTAGTCTACCATTACAATATACAATTTTTATTCTAAGTGTACAGACGGTGCGAAACACCTTTTCCTTCTGTTCTGGTATTTTATAAAAAAAAATATCAAAATTTATTTCTTTAAAATAAAGAAAAAGAATTTCTTACAATATCTATTCTTTTTATATATGTTATAGTTTTTTTGTTTGATTTACATAAATCTGTCGAGTCCAAGGAATCAATTGCATCCTTTATGGAGTGAAGTGAGCAGATATCGCATAATGTTATTTCGTTGTTTTAAATCTAATTGAATTGCTCCAATCATTAGATAACGAAGTAACCACAAAACAAATTTAGTAGTACAATAATAACAAGGGATACGAGATGTAGTTAATATTAGTAGGAGTCATCAATAGTATTCATTTTTATTGCATCTGCAAACGTACCTTTAGAATTACAATTTCAGTATTTGCCTTGCAGTCTACAATAGTATAAACTTATGAGATTTCTATATTCTTTTTATTTTTACCAAATAACTAGTATATAAAGAGGTTGCAGGTAAGCTTCTCGGTTACACTTAAAATTAGTAATAATGGCGTAATTTAGTGTTTACACTACTACACAATAAGTGAATATAAAACAAAAGGGAAAGAAGTGGCAAATAACGGATTAAATATTATAATAAAACTAATCCATATTATTTATAATTTAATTTATAATCCATATTATTTTTAATTTCGCAAATTTTATTTTTATTGAAATTTTTTTTTTGGGAAATTTATTTTTTTTTGTGTGATATTTATATTTTTTTTTTTGTGAAATTTATAATTTTAATCAATGTTATTCGTTATTATATTGCCACACTAAAGTCTTACAGGACAACATTCTTATCATTAAATAATTAAACTATTTAGACTTAGCTTTCTCGAATATTTTAATATGAAAAGTGCGACTAATTGCTTCACAATAATTGCGCTAATTAATATGATGTAAAGCAATTTTCCATTAACCTTGTTTGCTTTGCAAAATACCTAGATTCATTTATATAATAATTGCTTTAAAATATTTTAGATCTTTTCGAGCTGGGGTAAACTCATTTAAAGCGCATAAACTCAAGTACAAAAAAAAAAATTAGGGATACTCAGGATGTCTGTGCATCGTTGTATGTTCAAAATTATTTAATTTTACAAAAACAATTCCCTTATAATTAATAAATAATAATAATTAATAAATAATAAATATTTTCAGCACCAATTACCTCTTGCGTATTTGATTTTCAAGACTCTATTGTGAATGATATTACTTTTTTTATTGTTCGCTGGGCAATACCATAGCGAAACTGTTTTTTGAGATTATCATTTTTCAATTTTGTGCAATTGTTTGATTTTGTATTTATTTAACGTCCTACAATGTCGGAGCTGGTGGCCAAAAATATTTGGAAATTAAGCAACAAAAAGTGGACCAATAATAAGGTCCAACAATGAGTTATAATTTATAAGTAAATAAATAAGTAAACAAAAATTATTTTTTTGAGTTTGCAATAATTCACAGACATTCTGAATATCCCTGTTATATTAAAACTATAATCTAACAATAGTGCAATGCATTGATACCAACTTACGGCTTACAACACTGGTAAACATATTTGACAGTTGCAATTTTATTTGTCAAAATAGTATTTGGATATGTTTTAAACAAATAATTTGGCACGTGCCTTTAAATTAATTTAGTAAAAATTCCATAAATAAATAATAATACTAGATTGTATTATAAAATATAAAAAATGGAAATGCTGGTATGCAATCAAAATAAAACTTGAAAAATAGAAATTATTAAATCTTTATTTAGGAAGCTGCTTCTTTACTATCACGTCCAGCGGAGGAGTTTGGCAATGATTCGTTGGTGGAAGAAATGTGGGCCGTAAAGGCAATGGAGCACGCAGAAGTACATTTTAATGTAAGCGTAAAGTTATAACAAAATATTTACACCGTATATATTTTAAAATATATAAACCTGTATTTGAGCGTAAAATAAAAGCTGGAAATAGTGAAAAAGTAACGAGCTATATGGCATACAACCACAAATCTGTTGTCTATTAAAACTTGATTGTTTTTGTTGTAAGTCAATTAAGAAAAAGCTTGTAGAATTTCTATTAAGAGGAAGCGGCATTTGGTACACTGACAAGACTAATATTTGCAAGAAAGTGTGTAGGCGGCTGTTTCTGGCACTAATTAGAAGTTAACAGTTGACTTAAGCTACTTTGGTGCTGATATAATTTAGTGTTTCCTTATTGTCATGAACTTAAATTTCTAACACGATGATATTTTTTTTATTTATACGGCCAATCACCTTAAAAATTCTTAAATTTATTTTACTTATTTCATCTTCTAATTATTCAACTTCTAGTGTAACGTTAGGTATATTTTGGAACAGCAAAATAGATAGTTTTCAATAGGTGTGAGCTATGTTAGTATAAAATCATTATCCTCCACAAAATATATTAGATTTAGTCTTAATATATTTTTCTCGAAATTTGACAAAAGTTGCTAAACTCTATAAGCTGATTGACTACCGAAAAAGGTCTTGAGATTATTTCCGTTTTCATTTCATCAAATATAAAATCAAAATTTATAACTTCATACATTTAAGCCAATCAATCTAATGTTTGCATTTGTTTCTAATATTTTCTAATATTCTAATATTTTTGAGTAAAGGATTCCTGCAGTTGGTGACCTCCGACTTCTATAAACATCAACTGCTGTAACAGTGGTGAATAGAAGGACATTCTAAATATTAAAATTTGGTATCAACCTAAATAATCGTATTTTTATTGAGGGCGGTAGCTAATTTCATATCATATTGTTGTTGTAACCCACTAGGACCTGCTTGTGGAGTCCCTTTGGGTGGTGTTGAACGGCATTTGGTTGTCGCTGGCGACGAGTGGCTCCAGGATGTAGACCCGACCGTTCTTTGAACCAATTTTATATCATAATAGATAAAACCTTTTTTTTTATACATAAAATATTTTTAATTTAAATTAATTGTATATTAATTAATTGTATTAATTGTATATTTTCAATTAAAATATAAATATTTTTTCTTTCCAGTTACTCGTCAGTGTACATCCTTCGTGCATACGGCTCACACCATTTGATGATCAAATTTATCAAACATTTCGACAAGATTTTCCCGATCTTAAAATTGATGTATTAACAGATGATATTCTTAAGTCGACTGATGCAAAAAATCGCTGGAGGCAATTCTCACAAAAATTCAGTAAATTAGAAGATTATTCATATGGTACACTACTACGTGCAGATGCAAAAGATCGGTTTTGTCCAGAAAATGCATTATTAGTTGTGCGCATACAGTTCTTAGCCATTGAAATAGCACGAAATCGTGAAGGACTGAATGATGTAGCGCACAATACATTTAAGCCATCACCACGCGATTCCAACGAATCATAACTGACTTTTAACTAAAACATAGACATTTGTACTCGGTTAATATCGAAATTTTATATTAAGCTTAGACATTTTTTACGATAGCAATATAAAAATCTTTTTTCATAGAAATTAAAATTGTTATCATTTATAATAGCAGAACCAATCTCACGGTCTAAGGTTTGTGTAAACGGTAATAAGTATGTTCACAAAGTTGTCTATCTCGGTTATTGTGAAACTCTTCCTTATGCAAAATAATCCTTATAAAATAAACAAATGCACTTGTTCTTAGAGAACAAATCATGAAGTGGATTTACTTCGGCTGGAAAAGACATTTTTAGAACTTTCAAAATCGTTGTCAGTAGTTGGAGATGGAAATACATTTGTATGTTGTTGATATTAAGTTACAAAAACAATAGAACTAATAACTTAATATATTCCGTCAGAAAAGTTCTCGACGCATCTCGATCAGGCACCATATAAATTAATTAATACAATTTCATACTATAAAAATTTAGTACAATATATTGCATTAAAGAGCAAATATTTCTTTTAAAAATTAAATATATATACAGCAAAAACAAGTTGGGTTTGAGGTGTAGATACGGCTGGATTCTAAAAGTGTCGATGTTTAAAGCACATTTCTAAATAAAATTACGGTAAAAGAACTCTTATTAAGAAAGTCGATTGATTATCAGATCTATGTATCATATGAGACTGTAATGATTTTAAATAAAATAAACTTAGTAAAGTTAAGAGTAAGCGAAATCATTAAGGCACTTTTTTATCCCATAATTTTTAACTGGAACTTATTTTTACTAAGATTTTTTTATCCACCTTTTTTATATTGCTTATGTGCTCACTTGCCCCAGCTTATATACCGAATTGAACTTAATCGACTCATGGTTCTCCTTTGAATTCTGTATACAAGTATAGAAACTTGGGTTCTCTTGCTCAGACTAACTGGGGGAAAACTTATTTTACATAATTTTTCTATCAATCCTCTCCCACTCATTTAGCATACGTCTTGTCATTCATCCTTTTATGTACTTCTGTTCTGGGATCCGTTGTACTACAAAAAAAAACCATAACACATATTTATTTATATTATATACCACTAATTAATTAATTAACATTTATTTAAATATTATAAAAGGATGATCTGCAATATTCACTATATTCAAGAGATAATACAACTATTCCACTCCTAATTCCCATTAATAGACCTTTATTTATCTGGTCTTAATTATTTAAAGAGCAACCGATTTTTAGGCACGACATTCGTATTAATCCAGAATGACTAATATATGCTACAGATCCGTATATTATTTTGAATTAGTATATATATCATTGAATAGCCAAAAATCGACGTACAGTTAAACTTCCATAACTCGAAGTCCAATTTGGCAAAGAAATGGTTCGACTTATGGAGACTTCGAGTTAGAGAATTATTTACTTTTTTTATTTTTAAAAGAAACTATAATTACATTTTGAGATATTTATTTATTTGCAATCAAATAAACTACAGAAGTAAAATATTCAGAAATTAGGGTTTGAGACTTTAATTTTTTTCTTATTTTCAGTAAAAAGAGATTCCACTTTATTCATACTCTTATAGTGATGATCAGTTGTAGTATCATTCGTTGGCAAATATAAATTCAGAATTTTGAATGAGTCTTTTACTTCATTTTTGGAAGGCTGATGAACAATTACATCCACCGAACCCTCATCATCACTTTCCTTTGCGCTTAGAATTGGATCCAGTAGTTAAGAGCTATAGTGCTCAATAATATCGTCACCTGAAGGAAAGCTTGACATAAGAAAGAAGAAATTAAACATTTGATTTGGAAAAAGGGACTTCCCCTAACCGCAAAATGCATTTATACTTAAAACAAAAATTCGACTTATAGAATGCACTTTCCCCATATTCTCATCGGCACGAAACAAAATTTTTGTTCGAGTATACACAAATTCGAGTTATAGAAGTTCGAGCTCTCTAAAATCTTCGTGCACTGTTTTTGGTTCGAGTTATGGAAGTTTGACTGTATTTTAAATTAAATAAAATAATAATGTTTGGTCAATTTACTGAATTTGTTCCTAATAAAAATAAGACTGCACTGCAGTGCGAGTATGATGACGTCATAAATGCAAAAATAACACTGATTTACAGTGTTACTTTAGCAATATTATTAAATATATTACTTTTGTTTATAATAGATAGATTATTATTAAATATTTCTAACAATCACATATTTTTTAATAACCAATAAAAACGAGCAATAATTTTTATTATTATTATATTAAAAAATTTTATTAAACTATAATATATTGCAATATAATATAATATATAATATAATAAATACATAATATAATATTATATAATATATAATATAATATACAATATAATATATAATAATATAATATAATTAATATATAATTTAATATAACAATAATAAAATGTATAATGTGTGTTATGATATAATATAGAATTTAATATAATAAATATACAATATAATATTATATAATATATAATACTACATAATATATAATATTATATAATATAATAATATATATAATATATAATACTACATAATATATAATATTATATAATATATAATACTACATAATATATAATATTATATAATATAATATAATTAATATATAATTTAATATTACAATAAAAAAATGTATAAAATAATTTTAAATTAATAAATTGTGTAAATAATTTGTGTTATGATATTATATAAAATTAAAGTATAATATGGTGACGACATAAATTGATATTATTCTGGTCGTGCCAATTTATGTTTATTGTGTTGTAAATATTGCTGCTGTCATATTAGTCCTATTATTGATGTTATTAGGATTATTGATTTATAAGGATTTGATAAGTGCAGCAATGTTCCTAATAATAAAAGTTTTAAATATTAAGTTATTAAACATATATATATGTATATATATTATTTTTAAAATGCAATTTTAAAAATGAAAAGGAAATTTTAAAAATCAAAAGGAAATTTTAATACTTACATTATTATTATTTGAGTGTCTAACAGTCTGTGAGTGATATTCACGTCTTATACCAAGAAAATGCTATTATTATTATAATTATTATTTTTATTATTATTATTATTTTTATAAATTTTTTGTATAATTATAAAATAAATAAATTTAAACGAAAAACATTGGATTATTATCCATAATTTGTTTCATTACTTCTCGCTTTTTATATTCCGTTTTTAAGTCCCCAAATTTATGAACGCTAAAATTAGACAAATTATTAATATGAATATTAAATTAATATGATAAGGTTATAAAAAAATTGATAAATTATGACATTAAAGAATCGTTTAAAAAGTATAATTTACAATTGTAAACTCAAAATATTATTGCAATCCATTTACTTTTAAATAAAATTTTTGTATTTATATAATTAATAATCAATTGTTTTTAAAATTATTTATAAATGATTAAAAAAAACTATTTGTTAGTTTTTAATTTTTTTTTATCATAATTCGTTCTAATAGAGTGGCAAATAAACTTTAAAAAGGTAGTAATTATAAAAAATAAATATAAATTAAAAAAAATAAATATAATTTATAAAAAATAAAATAAAATTTTATAAAAATAAATATTAATTATAAAAAATAAATATAAGTTATAAAAAATAAATATAAATTATAAAAAATATATATAAATTTTAAAAAATAAATATAAATTAAAAAAAATAAATATAATTTATAAAAAATAAATATTAATTATAAAAAATAAAAATAAAATATAAAAAATAAATATAAATTATAAAAAATAAATACAAATTATAAAAAATAAATATAAATTATAAAAAATAAATATAAATTATATAAAATAAATATAAATTATAATAAATAAATATAAATTAAAATAAATAAATATTAATTATAAAAAATAAAAATAAATTATAAAAAATAAATATAAATTATAAAAAATAAAAATAAATTATATGAAATATAAATTATAAAAAATTGTCTATCAGTTTACAAAAGTCACATAAGATAATCTACGAATAATCGTGTAAAATTTGACAATACTTACTTTTCTAAATATACGCGTCCGCGAAATGCAACTAAATGTGACAAATAGGCTGGTGCTGGATATGAGACTGCGCGATTGCATCGAGGAAATAGATGGCACATATTGTAGCACATTTTTTGTATATCATCTATATTCATTTTTGCATCATCGACAATCACATTATAACGACCAGGTTTTGCAGTACCTTGTATGGCTTGATGACTGCATAAGAAAAATTGTATCTCATTTGGATGTACAATTGTTCTATCTACTACACTACCAGGTTCAACATTGTTAAATTTGTCACGATCGTTTGCTGGACGTTGGGGATAAAATCGTGTGTGATGACGTTTTATAACAATAATACACGTAATTTTAGGACATATACGTAGTTTCTTACAAGCGATACGAATTTCGCGTATTTCCTCTTTTTCAATTTGCGGAAATTGGCCATCGGATACACCATCACGAAAGTATATTACGTGTTTGGGATATTTCTTTTGATGTTTAAAATATACTGAAATAAGATTAGTGAAAATACCCTCCATGTCCTCAATAACTTCTTTTTTTGAGCTTTGCAAACGGTATTGCATATTGTAATTAGCTCCATTAATGTCATGAGAACCTACTACTCCAACAACACTTGGTATGTGTCTTTGATCTGGTGATGGATGTGTAACATCAGCTCCCATATACATAACGTCTTCTAGTTTTACATGTGTTGCAGCAGATATTATGTGATTAGTACCATTTAGTTTAGCATTAATTTTTAATAGAATGTTATCTATTAGTTGCGAATTCAACCGCCTAAAAGTACCAGCTTTAATACATTGAGTTAAAAGACCATATTTTAATTCGGCGGCTTTTTTAATGTCAGAATAAGTGACATTTCTATCCGGAATCACTACAATTATGAAATCATATCCATTGTTTTTTATATCTAATAATTTGTCTTCAATTCTTTTGAATGGAGCAATATCCGGTTTAGCCAATTGTAGATTTTTCCTCTCTGCTCCGCTACACAACTAGAACAACAGAGAAAAAACTATGTTTAGTTTGTTAAAATATTTTATTTGTTTTGTTAGCTCACCATTCTTGCCAATTCTTCAAGACTCCCACGTTGAACACTTGCTCTCGCACCCTCCTGATAATACAAAATAGCATAACTATGTCCTTTTGGACGCATACCAGTTATAATGAATTGTTCTTTATCAGCCCTCCAAGCCCCTTTGAAGCAGCTGACAGTTTCTTTTTGGAAATATTCTAATTTAGGAGCATTTAATATTCGCATAGATACAACAATGAAACGTGGATCTATTTTAATTCCAAATGCTGTTATAATTGAATTAGCGTTGTGTTGATAACGAGTCAATAGGTCCATTATTCTCTCCTTACGTTCGTTAGTCGATGTTGCTGCATATCTGATTAATTTTTGTATTTGTCTTGAACTATTCTTTTTCTGAAACACAAAAAAATATTTTATATTTCATATACATAATAGCACAAAGTAAATGCTTACATTTATTGCTTGCCCAGCTGGAATTGAGCATAATTCCATAGGCAACAAAATACTACGTACAGATGATCCAACAATTAGTAAATTAAGTTGGGGATAATTTATTTTATAGTCGCGTGATTTGAAGTATGCATCAATTGTCATTATTTCGCCATCCTTATCAAAAGTAGCATTCAAAGCGGATTTGTCTGAAACTCCTAAACATTTATACATTTTGGGCAATGCTCCAAAACATTTTGGCGGTGTGTAAACAATATTAATATTTTTTAAAAAATCACTCAAGTCGTATAAATTGTATCTATCAAGATTTGCATCCAGATTGTTTATATTAAGCACTTGTCTTAAATAATCGATCATATGAAACTCCTTAGGGAATGATTTATGACTGACGTCAACGTTTAGAAGTGGTACATCGCCTAACACCATAGCTTGATAAAGCCCTAACCACATTTCATATCCATCATCTAAATCATATTGTCTATTACTGGATGGCGCATAAAACGAGCGACCAGCACGAACACCAGCTTCACACGCACTTGCAAGCACGACGTCCAAACACTGAAGAGCTCTCATTGGTTTATCGAATACTCTCTCAGTTGTGTATCTGAAATGGATAATAAATCGTATAAAAAGTAAAAATGAAAAATTTAATCTAAAATTTACGTTTTTAAACAGGTTAAATCAATTTCCATATCAGCAGTTTCTTTAATGGTCAACTTAAATTTCATTACTTTGCCAACTGAATCGTGAATCTAATGAAAAATTACTTTCATATATTATACATTACTTGAATGGATAAAGTTTTTAAATGTACCTCTACATCGCCTTCATGTTTGTCGCATTCCAACTTTTTTGCAGTATAAAACGACTTGGATCCATCAAATGCCATTAAGTTGTTTGGAAAATATGCAACATTATATGCCCTAAATACTTGTCTTAAGAACTTTTTGGGCCGATCTGGATTAAAAGACACGTCATAATGATATGCCACACTAGGCATTTTTTCCATATCAATCCTCAAATAATTTGTTTCAACTGTTGAAGATTTACCAGCAGTTCCGCGTGGAATATAAGAAGTTGTAGGTATTTCTTTTTGAGGTCCAAATTGCTGCATCAGCTGTTGTTCTGAAGGACGTTGTGCCTGTGCTTGCTGCGGTCGTCGATCTTCATAATAGCCACCCTTTTCTCTCTGTTGATATTGTTGTTGGGATTCTTGCGGTTTAGATCCTCTATATTGTTGTTGTCGTTGATCGACGCCACCTTCTCTACTCTGTTGTTGCCATGGTCCTTTGGATTGACCACTATCTTGCCGCTGTTGCTGTTGTTGCGGTCGCTGTTGCTGCGACCACTGTTGCTGTTGCTGTGGTCGCTGTTGTTGTCCTTGACCGACGCTACCTTCTCTACTCTGTTGTTGCCATGGTCCTTTGGATTGACCACTATCTTGCCGCTGTTGCTGCGGTCTCTGTTGCTGCGACCACTGTTGCTGTTGCTGTGGTCGCTGTTGTTGTCGCTGATCGACGCTACCTTCTCTACTCTGTTGTTGCCATGGTCCTTTGGATTGACCACCATCTTGCCGCTGTTGCTGTTGCTGCGGTCTCTGTTGCTGTTGTTGCGGTCGCTGTTGCTGCGACCACTGTTGCTGTTGCTGTGGTCGCTGTTGTTGTCGTTGATCGACGCTACCTTCTCTACTCTGTTGTTGCCATGGTCCTTTGGATTGACCACTATCTTGTCGCTGTTGCTGCGGCCACTGTTGCTGTTGTTGCGGCCGCTGTTGCTGTTGTTGCGGTCGCTGTTGCTGCGGCCGCTGTTGCTGTTGTTGTGGCCTCTGTTGTTGTGGTCGCTGTTGCTCTTGTTGTTTTTGTTGATCAAGTCCAACTTCCTGCTTCGGCTGTTGTTGAGACTGCTGTTGTTTTGCCCATGCCCCTTTTGACTCACCACCTTCTTGCCGTTGTTGTTGTTGTCGTTGATCAAATCCAACTTCCTGCTTCGGTTGTTGTTGAGATTGCTGTTGTTTTGGTCTTGCTCCTTTTGACTGACCACCATCTTGCCGCTGTTGCTGTTGTTGTTTTTGTTGTTGCTGTGGCACCTGTGTTGACTGATCAGAATCGCGTTTTTCCTGTTGCCGTTGAGTAGAAACACTTTCTGCAGGCTGCTTTTCTGGTTTCTTTTGTTGTTGTTGTGGTTTTTGTTTAGCTTTGGCATCATCTTATATAAAGTTAATGAAATAAATAAGATTATGTTTAAAATAAATGCATATCTAAAAAATGTTTATATGTAAGCAACAGTGAAGACTGCTCTATGCGGCGCACGCCTTAACATAATTTACAAAATGTCAAATAAAATATATAAATTCATTAATATATACATATATATATATATTAATATATATTCATTAATATATTAATATATAAATTCATTAAAATAGCTTTACATTCAAAATTAATATAATTTATTACATATAATATATAAACATATTTTTAAAGATTAAAGTATTAGTAAAGACAATTAAGTAGAATTGTCTAAAAAAACTGTAGTTGTTATATGTGTTCATAACTTTGCAGGTCAAATCGCAGAACATTTATATTATATTTCGTCTTTCATCTTTCGTGTGTGCTCTCGCATAAAATATGAGAAATAAAGATCTTTATAGTAAGAAATGTATGAGAGTAATTATTCTGTTCTATTCGAATATGAACTGTATGCATATGAATTAAACATGTTGATTTGCCAACATGTTAGACGTGCGGTAAAGTTTGCAGCTCACACATCACCGTACATTTTTATTAATTTTCGCCTCTTCCATTTTAGTATTACCACAAACGAATTTCACCCGCTAGTTGTGCGCAGTAGTTAGCCGCACATTAATACGTTGCAAATGCCTTTGATTTTGTTTGATCACTGCATAAACATGCATGGTTTTGAGTACAGACTCTTCTGTTTGAAAAAAGTTGCTTTGATATTGTGAGAAGTATGTGAAAAGTTGTATTTTTATTCTATATTGATATAATATTAAACTTATACATATATATGGTATGTATAAAAATTAATTATTTAGTTAATGAATTGTTAAATGTTGTGTATATATTGTTGCCCAATATAATATAGTTATTGTTAATAAAACATCTCATCTATTTTAATTGATCATTTTTGATTTAACCGGTATATGTGAAAACAACATTAGGCCTTTTCTTTTGTAAGCATTTGTAAGCATATTACAAAAGAACAACTGCGTATTTAAAAAAAAACATATGAAACAACAACACTGCTGGCTTATTTAGTCCAACTTTTTTGAAACCGTTTGACTAAGAAGCAGCTCAAATCGCATGGCTGCCAAGACTAAAAATTCTTCTATTGTGAACGGTTTTTAAAAGTGCGTACAAAATCTTCAGTTAACTGTCAACAAACATTTGACAAATAATATTTAATTATTTTTAATTTACTACTTTTTTCTGTTAAAGTTTCTGAATATACAAATTTTTTTCACAATCATGTAAAAAATAAAACATTTTTACCCATAATTGCAAAGAATTATTATTCATTTTCGAAATTTGTTGTTCTTCCAGAGTTACCATTAAAAGTAGTGCTTATTTTATGTTGTTCTTTTGCGATATGCTTACAAAAGAAAAAACTTATTGTGGAAGAACCGTACATCCTTCCAGATAGTGCACTCGTCGCAACTGGTAAACAATATATAAAACCTTTAATTTAAATTAATTTCGAATCTTTTACGATTAATTTTTGGTTTATTTTTCTTTCGTTGCAAATGAAATTTTTTAAAGAAATATTTGACTAAAGGCCTTTTCTTTTGTAAGCATGTCGAAAAAGACCAAATAAAATAAGCACTACTTTCGTTGGAAACTGTGGACAAAATGGAGATTTTGTTAGGCTTATATGTGCAAAACACGTAATAAAACTTAAAGTTGTGTTTCGAAAATGAATAATAATTTTTTGCAATTATTGATGAGAATATTTTTTTTTACATGATTCTGAATAAAAAATAAATTTTTCGTGCCTTTTAACAGTAAAATAATAAATAGAAAAAAGATCGTATTTGTTACGAACAATGACGATACGAAATGCGAATAATTAACGAAATCATTCGTTGCCAGATAACTGGAAATTTCGTATGTACTTCCAAAAATCGTTCACAATAGACGAATTTTTAGTTTTGGCAACCATGTGATTTGAGCTGCTTATTCGTTAAGCAATTTCAAAAAGGTTGGACTAAATAAGCTAGCAGTGTTGTTGTTTCATATGTTATTTTTAAGATAAGCAGTTGTTCTTTTGTAATATGTTTACAAAAGAAAAGGCCTTATAACATTGTTTTTTGAAATTAAAATTAAATTTCAAGATTGAAATCTTTGGCAGTTTTAACTTTAATAGAAAGGTCAAAAACATTTTTTTGTATTAAAAATTAGACAAATTTTTTAGACGCGGATCATCAGTTGAGTAAGAAAGGCATGGAATACAATAAAACTTTATATGTTTTTAATAGTGCACATTATTGCTGTAATGAATGCAGTAATTTTGGGCATTCGGATTGACCAACATCGGATTTTTAATACTGTCGCTGTTGTGAACCACATAGCTTTTCCTGCTTCTGAATTGTCATTGAGATTTTTAATGCCTCAAATCTCTTTACTTACCATTTACTTGCCACTGTTGTTTTAATTTTTGTTGTGATTCTTGAGGTCTGAGCCCTTTAGATTGATTACCAATGTGTATTTGTTGCTGTTGCTGTCGATAATTAGCGTCTCTTTTTTCAGCCTGACTTTGTTGTTGTTGTTCAAAACCTTTTGACGGACCACTTTCTTTCCATTGTTTTTGTTGTAGCAATTGCTGTGAATCTTGCTGTTTTGGATTTTTATATTGATCAGAATCACTTTTTTGTTGTTTTTGTATGTCAAGATCTACTGCTTGTTCACGAAATTTTCGTTGAGATTTTTGTTTTATTGGAGATTTTAACTCACCATTGTCTTTCCACTGCTTTTGTTCTAGAAATTGTTGTTGTGATTTTTGATTTATTCTTGTATCTTTAAATTGATCATCTATGCGGTTTTGCTCTCGTAAAACAGAGCAGTCTGTCTGTTGTGTAAGATCCTTGGACTGAACAATTTCTTTCAGCTGTTTCTGTTGCGACAATTGTTTAAATTTTTGATGTTCTAGACCTTTAAATTGACCAGCGACACATATTTGTTGTTGAACTTCAGAGCCTACGACTTGTTTTTGAAATTTGCATTGTACTAGACATTTTACCTGATCGCGATCTTTTGACCGTTGTGGAAGTTGTTGTTGTGACTCTTGATGTCTTAACTTTTGAGACTCAGCACCGTTGTGTGCTTCTTTTTGTTGTAGCTGCTGTACAACAACACTACTTTTTTGAATTAGTTTTTGCGGTAACTTTTGTTGCTCTAATTTCTGTTCTTGTTTGTTTTTACTATCAGCTTATATTGACAAATAATAATAAATAATAAGAATTTAATATTTATATTGGATGTAATCTATAAGTAACAAGAATCTTGAAATTAAGCGCTTTATTTTGTTTATCTAGTTGAGTCTGTTTTTACGTATTGGTTGTTCTGCCAATTTTCTGCGTGGTTATTAACAGGTTTTCATTGTGCTTGCCTATCGCAAGAGCAACACGTCTTCATTAAATAAAATGTGGAGAATATCAAATAGATTACGATTGCTAATATAGAGATTATCATTCTGTTGCTAAAGTAATTAAAATGTTATATATGTTTGCTGTTTATCCAGTATTTTTGTGATGAAATATAATATTATAGTAATGTCACAACGACCCTATTTTTTAAATATGACACACTTTGTCTATTTTCTTATTCTCAAATTTAAGATGACACTTTAATGATGTATTTTTAAAAAGATTGGAATACCCTCGATTTTTTTTTATCAAACCAGAAATAACAATGGTCTTAATATTAATGAACAACTATTGTGAAGAGATTGGAATAAATATTTAGGACTAAATGGTCTGTTGGAAATGTTTAAAATTATAGTTACATTATGAGCACACCTCGTAAAATTTAAACTATATACACTGAGCAGAAAAACTCTGCGTACAGAAAGTTTTAACCTAAAAAAATTATTAAATAAATAAATTTTATTTTTTTTAGTACTTTTATTCGTTATCTTCATTTTAAGTCAAAACTTATTTCTAACAGATTAGTAGAAAAATTATAATAATTAAAAATATAAAAAATCAGCGCTATCGGTTACAGAAAAAATCTGCAAGTCAAGACTTGAAAAAGCTCTATATTAAGCTATATTATTTTTTAAAGCATTTTACGTTTTCAGTAACTTGTTGGATAACATTACCTATTTATAACCTCCATAAATCGCTTTGGTATCGAATTAACCAGCTTCGCAGTCTCATCGCTGCTTATTTTGCCCCATTCCGCGACTATCACGTTCTTTAGCATTTTTTTAGGGGTTATATTGTGTTCACGTATCTGACGCTCCAGTAAATCCTAAAAATGTTCTATAGGATTCAAAAATGGCGATTATGGTGGCGTTTTCATTTGCTTAGGTACATTATAAAGCAACCAAAACTTTACAACTTCTGCCAATTTATTTCATTAAATTTTAAATTTAAATTGCATTTTAAGATATTTAAATAATCAACTTTATTCATTATCGATACACACACAATAAAATTAATTTTTCTAACTCCATTACTCGCCATACACTCCCGCACTATCAGTCCTCCACTACGGCGTTTTATTGTTGGATACAAATTTTTATTCTTAAAGGCAGTACCCGTTTTTCGTCATATAACCTTTGATGCTAAGGAGACAAAATTTGCTTTCGTCTGAAAAACTTATGCGTTTCCAAAATTCTGGAAACTTATTTAAAAACCTCCTTGCGAATGCTTAACGCTACTTTATATTAGCTTTGGAGATAAGCGGCATCTTTCGTTAAATCCGGCCATGTTAGTTGTATTTTTTTAATATTTTGCGTACAGTATATAGTATATATAGAATTATATAGTATATATAGAATAGAACAGTATATATATATAGTATATAGAATTTGCTTCTGGAATGTCTGCTCAATATAGTTCTTTAATTGAAATCCAGTTAGACGAGGATTATTTTTCATTGAATTAATAATGCTGCGGGTTTCTTTTGTTGACAGCTTGGATGGAGGCTTAGATCTCAGCTTCGAGGTCAATAATTAAGTAGTTCACTACTCTTTGGATAGAAGAATGTGACCGCTTAACAATTTGACCAATTTCGATTTTTTATTTTGCTTTTTTTTTCATAGACCAATAATAATACTGCTCTGTGTATTATGATATACTGGTTCGGTGGAACATAAAGCACGCCAAAGTTATATTGTCAAAAGTTCGGGAATTCCCCTTTTTATGTTTTGTACGCAGACTTTTTTTGCAACCGATAGCGTTGATTTTTTACATTTTTAATTATTATAATTTTGCTACTAATCTGTTAGAAATAAGTTTTAGCTTAAAATGAAGATAGTGAATAAAAACTAATAAAAAATAAAATTGATTTAAAAAAATTTGTTTTTTAATAAAATTTACGTTTGATTTTTACGCTCTATAGCAAACATCATATAAATATACACATATATATATGCATTTCGCTCACTTGCGAAATTGAAAATTTTATAAAATGCTAAACCCAAGATTATACAGATTTTTATATAATATATGATTTTTAACATTATTCCACCAAATTACAGAAGAATCCAAGTGAGTGATTTTAATAGATGACGTGTATATAACGCATTTAACTTCTTTTTAATGCACTTCTAATCATTATCTATATAAACGTATAGGTATATAAATATATATTTACCGCTTTGTGTTTGTGCCGTTCCTTGCGAAGTGGACGCCTGTTCCTCTGGCTTTTTGCCATCAGCCTCGGGCTTCTTCTCTGTAATAATTTCATCAGAAAATTTAGCAATCTTAATTTAACCCTCACTCACTATTTTTCTTTCCCATATTTTAGTTTATTTAGTTTTTCTAACTTCACTTTTTTCTATTAAGAATAACACTTCTTTGTCTGTTAACGATTTCTTCTAGAATAATTTTCTTTCCTTGCAAAAAAATAACATCAGATGCAGTAATGTTGTTTTCAACCGAAATTAGTGTTGTGTAATCAATGCATGCAGATTAGTTAAGTAACCGGTTAAAAATAATTTCGCATTTTTGCAGCAAAGATTTTTTATACAAAGAGCAATTGAGTTTAGAACAGTTTCGCTCATAAATGTCTTCTTTTGTTTATACTAAATTTTATAATATTAAAATTATTTTAAGTAATAAATTACTATAAATTTATAACGACCAAATTTATAATTGTATATGCCATCATTGTTATATTTAAAAAAATGATAATGCGTTTTGTTTATGTTACAAAAATTTAGTTTCTTTAATATTATTTTATTAAATTACTAAATTTATCATGCTTTTCCGTATTAATAATTTTTTATTAAAAAATAATAATATAAGATTTAAAAGATAGCATAATAATATTATGTGCAGACAGTCAAATTTCGTTAATTTCGTAAAAATGCATTTAAGTTAATTTCGAAAATGTTCATACTGTCTCAAATTAAGGAAAACATATGTTTTTGTTTACAAATCAAATATAAAAAATTAAATGCTCCGAACACTATTTGTATCTGGGAAATTTAAAAAGTTGATTATTATAACTATAAAGTGTGGCATTCAGTAGTTTTATTAGCTTTAGTGAATTTCAGGTTTACACCGGCCGAAACGATTCATTTTAAATGAGTGATTTGAAAGTGTTTACATTCGTTGTAATTCATTTGTTCTCAGCTGATTTTAAGCTTCCCTATTGATTTGATTTTTGTCCTGCGCCAAAAAAAAAGTTGGATAAATGTTAAATATTCCTTGAAACCTTATACGGTGTTTACATTGGCCGAAAATGGCTCATTTTGAATGAGCCATTTGAAAGTGTTTACATTCGTTCTATTTCATTTGTTCTCATTTCAACAGCTGATTTTTCAACTTGCATGTTGATTTGATTTTTGACCTGTGCCAAAAAAATTTTGCATGAAGGTTAAATATGCCTTCAAACCTTACATTAGAAACTTAAAACATATTTTTAACTTCGATTAATTACTTTTTGGGAAGTAAAAGTTCTAAAAAGCAGTAAATCGTTTTCAAGAAAATGCAACCACCAAACATTTGTTTACCTTTTTTTGTAAATATGTTAAAAACAGCTTTTTCAAACTGTCAAAATGTCATGAAGAGCTTTCATTTAGGGTGTGTTCAATGTAATCCTTTGCATTTGGAACGTATGTGGAATGCATTCGAACGTCATTCATACAGAATGTGAGAAAATTGCTCATTTTTGTGCTTGAAATTTTTATATGCAAGAATGAGCCATTCGATACTCATTTTCGATTTTTGACCAAAATGAGCCATTTTCGGCCAATGTAAACGCCATATAATTCTAAAAAGTTTTATATTACATATAACATATAATTACATATAATGTTGACTAAATTTTAGAGAAATATAAAACAATATTATCAGTAAATAAATTTAATAGTTTCACATTTATTTATTTAATTTATTTGAACATAATAAACTAAAATATTAAACATAATTATAATATTATTATATATAATTTTTTTTTTCAACAAATAGTATCTTGTTTTTTAACTTCAAATCTATGCTGCATATGGATGAATACATACATATATTCATATATAGATAATTATAATTGCCGACTTATTTTTTAACTATGAATACCGAAAATTTATATTTAAATCTTTCACACATAAGGCTGAGGTTCTCCATTTACAGCTTTTTGATATGACGTCGAAATGATTGAAGAATGTACACTGTTGTGGAATTGCATGTCCTTTGACGCAATAAATAAAGGAGTTACAGCGCTCCATGTGAGGAAATATGTGTTGTCCATAAGTAGGGCAATTAATCAGATCGTTGGTAGCAGTGTTTGTGTTACTATTAGAGACTACATTAGGTTGGTTATTGTTTACTGTGATCTCATTTTGTACTACAGAATTGCTACCAATTCTACAGTTAGCATTTTGTGGTAGATCGCATTTTCCTATGTTTGGATTCCAATGTAAATTGGCACTACATTCTTGTAGTAAAGCCTGTCCATAATAGCACATATAATAACGTTGGCAATTATTGGAACTCCCAACAAAAGTAATCTGATTTTGGTTTTCTAGTTGCGATAGACTGGCACAATAACGAAATGCATCCACTATTTCATTGTTCGGACTATTAACAGGAATATCTGGAACTTCTTCGTTATCCGAACTGTTTAAACACTTCACATTATTTGGCATATCGCATAGTTTACTTTCTGCATTAAATAACATTGTTGGAGGACAAGCTGCTTCAACAGCATCACCATTTTCGACACAAAGATAAAATAATTTACAGTCGTCAGGATGTTGAACGAAGTCTCCGAATGAGTGATTGGCACAAACGCTACTTTGTCGTTTAGTAAATATTTTATTTGAATAGCTAACCAATGAAAACCCATAAGTATTAGTGGACTGCAGAAGGTATACCAGGAATGCACTAAAATAAACTAAAATATACTTTTTCCAATTATTTCCAATTGTATGTATTATTTATAATTAATATAATTAAAAGCAAATAAATCAGTTGGTTTCTGAAATTATCAAAATGTCATATATAAATATATGAAAGCTTTATATATATAGCTATATAAGATTAATAGTTTTGAACATCACTTCATTTTTAATTATAATCTCTTTTAATTTTAATACACTTATTCTAACGATCCTTAAATCTATAGGTCCTTCCTCTGTTGCAATTTGCGGGAGGACTGCTAAGCACCTATTAAGGCTAAATAAGTTATCGAAAGTAAAAAAAAAGAAATCGCGCCTACTCGATAGGTGGAACAGTTGTAATATTAGGTTTGAAAAAGAATGCATTGTAACAAAAAAAATATGAAATATATAATACACCACTGCTGTGATGTGTTGAAAAAGGATGAAGGAACCGAATATATATAAAATAGTGTGCGATATTATATACTCTTATCTGATTTTTTAATGATTTTAGTTTAATTTGAATACGCCTGGTTTAGGCATATTCAACTCAAAAATGTACTTTGAAGACACAACCAGTTTAACTGCACAGTTAAGCTACTCTAAATCTCCCTATTTTAGCGGATGCTTTTTCGAGGTTGCACCAACTACAACCGCAAGCTCTTCTTCGTCTCAGTCCTTTATGACAATGCCACGATCACTTGTGGTGACGAGTAACTTATGCGCTTTAAATCCCCCAATACCTATCCCTTTACTTTAATAAGTGGGACCGAAATCCTCACGACATCTCCCTTTATAACCGTGGCTTTCGCAAACCTGATCACAAAGTTTACCGCTAACTCACTCCCGCGCTTGAGCTATAACCCCATCCCCTTCATTATCACCCAATCTCCTTATATTATGCCCTTGTTTTCTGGCTTAGATGAATCTAACCCACTATGTATTAAGCCTATTTGCTCCCATCTCTCTCTCATGATTACTGGATTGAAGTTTCCACATTGTTATGGAAATCTTTTCCATTCATTCCTAAGAGGTGGTTTCAATAGGTCAACTTTTACGCCATGGCTTTCGATCTATTGCAATAAAAAAAAATATTTAAATTAGTGAACCTAAATCAACAACCCGTTTTTTCCCACTTTTGTGTATCTAGTGATAACGAATTAAAATTTAAATATTATGTTTTGAAAAAAGGTTTTATTTCAGAAGGTACGAATTTTGTGTCTTTAAGAATTTAAAGCATAAATCTTGATGAATCAAAGATAAATACTTTGAATTATTCGTCTAAAGAATGATCATTATAATGTATTTTTTTTATATATTTGAAGCTTCTTCTTCATACCATGAAGAAAGCTTCAAATTCTGTTTTTAAAATTATATCTATTCTCGGTCTTCTATTCTATATTAATATCAATTAGTAGTTTAAATTTAATTATATAGTTTTTTAAGTTAAAAAACTAATTCACAAATTTGACTAGCTTAACACAAATCAATTCTTCATTATGCATTTCATTCAAGTTTTTCACACAAGATTTGACTTAATGCCATTTTCTATTGGTAAATGTGGGGTAACTTTTTCAATTAGTATTCACTCTAATTCATCTCCAATTCATTTAAGTTTTTCACAAAATATTTAACTTAATGCCGTTTTCGATTGGTAAATCTGGAGTAACTTTTGCAATCGTTTTTCACTTTTAGTACAGTTTTATTTTTCATTCGTAAATCTCGACTGAAATTTACAACACTCGAGTTCAAATTATAAAACTCTAGATATTTTGCCAGTGTAACAAAATTACCCTGAAATTAACAGCTGTTTTATATGATTTGATATGGGATGTGTGGATGTGTATGTGTACTACAAAAATGTTAAATGACTCTAAAAGTATTCGATTTGGCAACAAAATATGACAGATCGAGAGTAAATCTGGATTGAATCCAGATGTATCAATTGAAAACGTTTATAATTTAATAGTCTTTTTTTCATCTTCAAGAATCCAATAAATCCAAAAATGCATGCCTTGTCAAATACTCTGAGTTTTATTATACATTAACTACAATCGAAAAAAAAAATATTCTGATTTATAGGTAAATGATAAAATAGACAAAGAAATTTAGCTAATAATTCAATTTGTTTTAATGAATTAATCATTGTGATCCTTGATTATGGCATCTATTATTTTTTACACCAGTTAATATTATATTATCTTTTTCACTACAGTTTATTGTAATCGTTATTGCGTAGTAATTAATAATGGTCTTTATTGATTGGTTTTTACATTTCCAAATGTGGCTAAATTACCATTATAGGGAAATTAGTCCATTATTTGTGGCAAGGTTTTGTTCTTTAGTCTATATAACAGTCTATTAATATTGTGCTACAAATAATCACAAATTTCTTATCGTAAACAATTATTTTTTTAAAAAAATCTACTTTATAAATTTTTATAATTAATAAATAATTAATAAGTAAAAAAATACCTCTTATAATCCTCATTGTAACAGTTTTAAATTAATCCTGATCACTTATATAGTATATAAGTATATTGCGTCTTCTCTAAATACGTCTTTCTTAGAAAGCAAATGCGATAACTCTGTTAAATTAAATCTTTGAAGAATATCTCTTCATATATGCTTCATTATCTCAGTGACATTTTGTGATTCACAATAAAATTATACGCAAATTAGCTAACATTTTAATTTCCGTCTTTATCATCTGTTATTGATCTCCATTATTCTCAAAAACTTGCTGATTGCAAAAAAAAAAAAAATATGTATTATTTATACGTGAGGTTATAGTACAATATATTGTGAAGACGAAAAAAAAAATAAAATTTTATTTATTATGTTACTTAAGCTTTTTTAACTAAAGCATTTTTATATGAAATATTTGATAATAGAAAAAACGCACAAATAATTTGCTACTACTTGCCATGACCTATTTTGTTGGAGTTCAAAATTTTGGGATCGATAAGTGTATATTGTACTATCTGTGAAGGTTTTCCTATTTCTAATTAAAGTGAAAAATATCTGTTATATCAATATACACATTGATTAAATAGTATTAATAACATTATTTATTAATTATTACGATTAAAAATTTGTTCTTGAGAAATGATCTTACGATCGATTTATTGACAATGTAGAAAGTAAGACAGTGGTTTCATCAAATATAGCTACATATTGCTTCATTTAGAAAAAAACAAATAATTATAGTGTCGGATACTAAGTATGTTTTTTTTTTAAATTAAGGAAAATGGCTTTAATTTCGTTGGAACGAAAACCGGGAAAATATTTTAAAAGTAGTACAAATTTTTAAATTTGAATATAGAAAAAAAACTACAACTGCTATTAATTTAAAATAAAGTGAAAAAGAATAATTCGCATACTTGAAATCCACTAAAGCTAATAAAAGTACTGAATAATATTCTTTATAGTTGTAATAGTCAACTTTTAAAATTTCCCAGATACAAATAGTGTTTGGAGCGTATAATTTTTAACATTCGCTTAGTAAACAAAAAACATATGCTTTGCTTAATTTGGGGCAGTAAAAACACTTTTGAAATTAACGTAATTTTTTTTTTACGAAATTAAGGAAATTTGGCTGTCTGAACATAGTATTACGCTTACAAAAATTTGATAGTTAAGGTGTTCAAAAATTCTTGCATCCTACATAGTAAGAAATACTTTTAAATTTCCCGCAGTTGAAGATAATATAATATCATCTTGACAATAATATAATATATTTTTGAGATAAATTTTTCTCAATAATACTTCAAATTTTTCAACCTCTTTAAATTGTGCATATTCTGAATATCTTAAAAAATCTATAATATATTAGTCAAGTAAATGATCATCCGAACTGAACTTTTAACCTTAAAAACAAAAAATAATGACTGAGGTCTAGAGATCGTAAATAAACTCATGTGATAAATCAATTTGAAATGCATTTTCTGAATTTTAGTCTTGATAACTACTGAGACACAGTACCTTTCCTTTGTGTACCTTTTCTTTGTTTTACAAGTAGAAACATTTATTGAGTGTTTTGTTTGTAATCTTAGCTGTCATATTTGTAATTTTAGTTGTCAAAAATTTTATCATTTTGCATTGAAAGCAATAACAATTGATAGTTAAAATTACAAACATGACAACTAAAATTATAAACAAAACTCTCGTGTGAATCCAGTATAAATAGATCTAACAGTACCTTGGAAATGTTTAAATTATTCCGTTTTTGGGCTAAGTTCAATAAATGCGGTATATTAAATGCATGCAAATTCCATATGTCTGAATCCTCACGGTATGTTCCCATTATCTTCGTTAAAGCAGTTTATTTGGTTTATCGTCACTTATGGTATGGAGGGCGATTTATAATGATCACATACATTGTAGATTAAATTGTTTATATTTTCTGAGTTTTTCATGACTAATTTATTAATTTCTGCTAATAATATAACACTAAATATCATTTGCTTACAATTAAATTGTGAACAAAGAAAAGCTCTCCTGAAATTTTCACAAAATTTTCTGACACATAAAAGTTTTTTATCTACATAAATTAACTTATATCAATGACCGAATGGAAACGACCGAATCTTAATTAGATTAACATAAAGTAATTTGGCTGCAGTGGGAACATTGTATTGAGTAATATTTTCCAAATGCTGTCAAATGAAGTTCATACAATCTTAGAAAATTATCTAATACTTATACAAGGATCAGAGACGGTTTAATTAATCTTAGATTAATCTTTTTTAACTCAGTTAGTATAACTACCTTAGAATTCAGTTATAATTACTTTTCTTTCGGTTAGAAAACAAAACAACGTTGATTTGAAATAATTAATCTTAAACGACGTCAGCAATGCAGAGAAGTCGCAAAAAAGAGAAAAACTAGCTCAAACTTGAAAGATTCAATCAGATAAGAGTTCGACAATACACAGTGTCATAGGAACACTGAGTTGGTAGAATTTGTCAACCAGATCTTCAATTTAAACAGTATTGAATACTTTTTTAACAGAAGACTTAGTCCTACAGTAAACTGCTTGTTGAAAGACAACACAAACTTCATTGAGGTAGGAGAGCAGGCAGTCAACAGTAAGAATTTTTACTTCTAAAATCTTTTAGATAGTCATAGATCTTTTTTATGTTTCCTCTTATTTATCATTACACAGGGTCTTTGTATACTTCAATGATTTTGAATTTAATTTGCAACGAACCATTCTGTAATTTATGCGGTTTAACTAACTGCTGCTAGTTTCTTATAAGTTTCATTATCTGGCACCACCGATATCAAGTGTGAAAGTGGCTTTAATTTGTGATCAATTACTTTGCCGAGTTCATGTTTGCAACTTAAAAGAGATGCACTTCCACTTGGGGGCATATATTGCCCATTGTGATTTCCTTAAAGATTTTGCCAGGAGAGGCGAGGTGCTCACCTTTGTTATGTTCGTATGGGAATAAGTAACAACACAATAATATTTTATCGGAAAACAATTTAGTACAAGTGAATTACTTAAAAGGATATATGCGATGCGAGCATTAATGGCGATTTTTAAAGTCAAATATATAAGTACCATCCATAATTTAGCTATGAGATATCAAGGAATACACAGTTTTTGAATTAGGTATATCAGGCTTTTGATGGTATATATACAGTATACTTTTAGAATCAATTTTTATAAGTCCACATAGAAATAATTAAGGATGGTGTGGAGGATTTTCGAGGTGGAAAAGGTCAAAATATTCAGTTAAGAGAGTAAAGTGGTTAAAGTAGAATTTCTTAACCTTTCACAGACTAGTGAAAACTTGAACAGAGTCATCAAAAATATTTTGAAAATAAATTACACACAAAATTATAAAAAATAAATAAGAACCATAAATATTGGACTTAAGTTACGAAACAGAAGATTAAAAAAAATATAGTTATGATATCAATAAAAAATATTTACAATGTTTTTTTAATTATTTCTTTACAGATATTATTAGTATTGCAATTAAGAATTAAATTCTTCTTTGATTGTTGAAACATTTAGCTTGACCTATCGGAAGGCAGGTACGTCGTTCAATGTCCCATCCATAAAAGAAGGGGCACTGTTGTAGTAGGAGAAATCCAACTTTGCAATGATAGAAATAATTACAATTTACTGGATGTGGATAAACATCTGTGGTATGTCTTTGACACTGCTCTTTTGCAGTAACGAAATCAAGCTGAAATATTTATAAAAATAAATAAATATATAAATTAATCGCATCTTTCACATATTCACACTTACCCTACACTTTGCATTTTCAGGGTAGTCGCATCTTCCTGTTCTGGTATTAAAATGTAGCATTGCTGAGCAATGCATTGGAAGAGGATTTCCATGAAAGCAAACAAAGTAATCCGAACATGATTTTGGATGTGGTATGAGACCCACCACTTCTCGATTGTCCACAGCTGGGCATTCAGATAATATCACAATCTTATTTATTTCATTACCAATACCAGGAAATACATTTTGCGTCTCTACAGTTGTTGGTATTGTGGGAAATGTAAATTGACTAAAGTTGGGTCTGGCGGTTTGAGTAGGTATGGAAGTATCAATTATTGTTGTTTCCCTTGTACCTGTTGCAGTGGATGCAGTTGTTATTGTGGTTTCCGTCGCAAAGGGTATTGGTGGAGTTATTATTGGTACTGATGTTGTTGATGAGACTGTTAACGTATTATTTGCTTCATTGTTATCTATTTGGCAATCAACTAATTCCTCTGGATCGCAAGTTTGATAGATTTGATCAAAGTAGTCTCCCTCGCCGCATTCACCCATGAAAGAATCCTCATTATTACAAAATATGTATTCACGGCAACTAGTTGTACTTGCTATATATGTATTTATCTCGACATTATTACATTCTACGAATATATCACACTTTACAAATCCAATACTTATGGAAAGAATTACTAACAGAATTGGAAGTTGCATATTTTGTATCATTAATTTTAAATTTTTATATTTTTTTATTAAAAAATCGGTCCCGCAATTTTGTCGTAATTGTATTCTTCGGTGTCTTGGGCTAAACTAATTCTTTAGAAAACTAAATCATGTATTTTATCAGACTGTACACCCAAATTTATTAACCTCAATCATTATCTCTTTGGATATTTTCTTCGAGTGTGAATAATTTACCCAAAAATTAACATTTTATCTTTTATTTTTTGATTAAAATTTTTTTACACATTTTTAATTAGAGTTTTAGTGACAAATTTGAAGTCAGATAATTTTCCAAAAAAAAGATTGTTATTTTGTTAATTACATTTTTACAGCAGTTTGGTTCTATAAAATTTTTAAAGATATTTGTATACTAGTTCTTAAGTTCTACTTCAGTGAGTTTAAAAAAAAAATTAAGAAGAAATTTTTATTAGCAAGAGACATTTTTATATATATTCACAAATATATATTTTCTTATCTAGATGTATAAAATTAGAGTTTTTTTTAAAACAGGCTTTGTGAGTATATAAAACAATATATATAACTATTAGATATATGACAGTCATATCATCAGTAAGCTTAACTAACATACATAAAGAATCATCATAGCCCTATAGCAGGGCTATCCAGATCAGATGCGATCGTGGACCATTAAAAATCACTGTACAGATTGGAGGGTCGTTGTTGTTATATATAATGTTAAATTTAGTTTTATTAATTTAACTTCATTTATTTGGTATACCATAAAAATAAAATAATGTAGTTTTACCAGTACATCAAAAGAAAGTTTGAGTAATTGTGATAGTTTAAAAACATGTCGCAAGTCATAGAAACATTAGGCAACGGTGTAGTTTGGATAGCCCTGTTCTAGAGGAAGACAGTATAACTTGTGACATTGTATGTGATTACACAGTCTTATTGGTTTTGATTTTTTATTGGTTTTCAATTTAAGCTAATTTGATTAATTGAATCTGCTCAATTGTCCAACTAAACATTTTTCCAGGATATAATATGGAAGATCGTACGAGAAATATTGTTATACTTACACGTTATTGCCAGATATATTCCTGAAATATCATGATTACTTTAATGCGGATCATATAATTAATTTAGCATATCTAGTACAAGTTAAATATTTTACTTTGACTCTGAATATAAATTTTATATATGTAGAAATATAATTGAATATTTTGCAATTATAATATTCTCCCTATTAAAACCATATAGTGTCAGCGCTGGTTATATCAATTCAAGTGACAAATATATGATCACCATTACCGAAATAAATTATGATTTTTAGATTCGATATTTTATCTAGTTACCACATATAATTTGAATTTGCCAATAGTACAAAATTTAGTAACATAAATTTTGTATACCAATTAACTAAAATTGATATAACCTAAAGGCTCAAGATATTGAATACATTATCACTTATAATTCTGCGCAATGTTTAATATACTTAATTCGGCTCAGATAAGAGTACTGAATAGACTTTGGAACAAGTTTTAGATAAAGGTACCGTGTGTAGTTAGCACTATGCACTTTCTCTGAATTCAGGATATACGCTCAGTAATAACAGCAGAACTGTCATTTGTAATAAATCTCTGAAAACAGTGTCACATACTGTTGTTATCAAGGTATGGGTCAAAATTTTATATTATGACTTTTATAACGATAACTTATTAAATCCGTGTCAGGTAAAGAAATTAAATCCAATTTATATTTGAGTTAAGATTATCGTACATTTTAGACTATACTTTTGTAATGAATGAACATATTAAGCAATCTCATTTCAGTATTACGGATTATCGTAGCATATCCTAATGAAGTTTAAATGATGCACGTCTGTCCTAAATCTAGTTTCTGTGAACATTTGATCTAACAATTTCTACTTTTAAATCAAATTGTAGAGTTGATAGATCAATAAAGAATGATTCTGTTTAAGAGTAATATTTATAAAGTTTTAAATATTTGTGACTCATAATTTTTTACAGATCAGAACTAACTAGTATAATTTTGAAGGTAAACACCGAAATGTTTTCAATTTATTTATTCTAGCTTATCAATGTGAGTTACAGTTATAAACATTTTTTCTTTTGTTTCCTTGTTATCTTTGTTATTTTGTATTTTTTTTCTTTCATTTCGGTTACTTATTTATCTATCAAAAAGTTTGTTTTTAAACCATCTAAACAGTGTCAACTGTAATTTCATATATCTTAGTTTTATTTACAGGCCTGGTCATCCAGATTTACGAGATTTTCTTTATGATTTCAATCTGTACTCATGTACCATGTTTCCACTTGTCTCATTAGGAAGTTTTGCTCATTAAGGCCGCTAATAAGGATAATTTAAGCAACCATTAAAACAAAGTTCCCACAAAGGAAATTATTATAATGTAAACAAACAAGCTATTACACATGCATAAATCAGCTTATATCAATAGAAACGACTAAATCTTAATTTCATTAACGTAAGTAATTTTAACTGCAGTGGTAACATGATAATTGATTAAGTTGCCTGTTATAATTGGTTTATTTAAGTTACTAGCGGAGGAGCCAAAATGTTTTCATCCTCTTTTCACGCATTTCTTCTTGTAATTATCCATATATAGCGGATAATTCCATTTTGCTATATTGTCGGATAGCTACGCATATAATTAATCCATTCAATGTTGCAGTTACAACTTCTCAGTTTCAAAATAGATCAATATATTAATATGAGCATTGTACTATATGTTTAATAAAAAATTATTTAAATATAAATATGAGCTTAGGCTTTAATGCTTTCAGTAACATAGTTCTCTTTACTTAATTTTAAAAAATAGACTGCAATGATTATAAATCTTATATCTATTTTAGTAATAGGTAAAAAATAGATGAAAAAAATGCTGTTTATGCGCCAATGATTATAGGTTAATTCAGAGACAGAGACTGATCGACGTACATGGGTATGGTTTTTTTAATATACAGAATTTTTCAATAGTTTCGCTGCAGTCTATAAATTTATATCCGTAGGAAGGTCTGCAAACCTACTTATTTAGATTGTTAGCATGATCGTATTGTGATGAAGTTATTGAAAGTAAACAGAGTCAAGAAAAAAGTAAACTTGAGCTAATTAGAAATGATGCTATGGCAAATATTTCCCTTATGTGACGTTAGTGAAGAGTAGAAGGCTCTTCAAAAATGCAGATTCGCTATTCTCACAGATTCAACTAAATTCTTTTACAATTGACAAAAAAGTTTTACAAAAAGATGGGGACAATAAATTAAGATTCTCCACTATTAAGAATAATTTCTATTAAGTAAGAATAGTTTGAAATGAAAAAATATGTTTAAGATCTTACCTAATCTTAACAATGCTCCACAGTTTCGAAACTTATCTTCAAATATACTATAAAATTTTAAGCACTATCTTCGAATATGTAATATACATATATGGTACTTCCAGTAAAAAAAAAGGGGAAAAAAAACCCTGACTGGAATAGATATGGCTCTTATAGATAAATGTTCGAAAGAACTGGAATATCTTCAATGTTAGCATTTCTGAAAATATCATTTTTGATATCGAAGAGATATCAAATCAAAACTAATTATAATAAAATGATTTAAATGTTTTAATTTTGTGAAAAATATACAAACAGACAGTCAAAAATTTTTATTCATAAAATGTCTCAACTCATTGGATCCAAATTTAATTGCTGAAGTACCGTGTTAGTGAACAAACCTATATTGTGTAAACAATTTAATAAAATAATAGAAAAAATTTAATATAAAAATAATTTGCCTTTAATATAAAAATGACAAATAAGTTTAACATTATATATGTTTTAATTTTTCTAACCTTACGAGTATTAAATACTGTTAATGCTGAAACATTTGCGGAATGTGATGGTGTTGATGAAGAAACATTTGTTGCAAGTTCAAGTAGCTGTAATGCTTACATCTATTGCCTGGGTGAGGAGTCAATGATGGGTGAATGCGCTGAAGATGAATATTTTGATGCAGAATCGCAAGGCTGCGATGACGCCAATGTTGTGCCTTGTTTTCTAGATGAAGAGGGTGACGAAGAAGAGGAAGATGAGGAAGGTGAAGAAGAGGACGAAGAAGAAGAAGAACCAATTACTACTACTACTGCAGCAACAACGACAACGACAACACCTGCCAATCCAATAGAAACAACATTTGATCCATTGAGTATACCACCTGTTATATTGGATACATGCCCAAATGTGGATGATCCCAGTCAGATTGTATTAATGGCAAGCAGTCAATCATGCTCAGATTACTATATGTGTTACCATGGACATGCCATTGAAATGCATTGTACAAATCATTTACATTTCAATGCGAATACTGGGAAGTGTGATTTCCCGGAATATGTACAATGTGCGGTAAGTGTTTAAGAAATATGCCCTAATATTATTAAAATACTATTAAGCTGTTGATTTAGAAGGAACAGTCACTAGTTACAGTAGTTGAATATTTTAAGTTTACTTAGTAGCTGTTATCTTATGTTAGCCTTGATAGTGTTGTTGTGGTTTTGGATAGCTAACATAGCATGGCACAATGGCAGTTTCGGTATGTCAGTTTTGGGGTGAGATTCTTGTCAATTATTCCCCCGGTCGACATAAAACAAAAAAAAAACTTGTTATTAAATCTGTTAACACCTATATAGATCGTTCAATTTATCTCCCTATAAAAATGATCCTGTCTGACGCATATATTATACACAAGTACCATCACTTCTTATTGTTTAGTTGCTATGTACATCAGTGAAGGTTGACCCATTAATGCATGTTATATCCAATAAATGATCTTACTCATAATATTTATTTTATTTACTATTTATTACTTCTTTAAGAGTTTTTCTTTATAATTTCTCTGATTTTGTTGTACTTAATTTAAGGCAAATTTATAATAAAAAAAAATTGTTTAACTCTATATACTGGTATTATATTCGATTGGAAGTTTGTTAGTGATAATTTTATGAATTTCTCTAGAATTTTATTTATTTATTTATTTTATTAATTTAGTTTATTTAATTTTATTTATTTGTTTATTTTATTTATTTATTTTATCAATTTATTTGATTTACTTATTTTATTTTATATATTTATTTTTTTAACTTATTTATTTATTTATTTTACTTATTTATTTTATTTATTTATTTTATTTATTCATTTTATTTATTTATTTTAATAATAATTTTGTTTTTTAACAGGCTAAATAACGCAATTTTTAAAAAAATTGTTTTTTGTTTTTAAAAAATCTTATTTAAACTGATACTTCTTAGTCATCATCAGGGTAATATCGTGATTTTAAAAAACAAATTTTTATTAAAAATATTTGATCAATAAAACAATTAATTATTTATTTATTTTATTTATGTTATTTATTTTTCACATAGATATACCAAACTAAAATATAAAAAGAACTAGAAAATACTGGTGGCAGAATCCTTCGACTCCTGAAATATGTTAACTATTATTAAATAACAAAATAGTAATAATAATAATTAAATAATTAATAAAATAATTAATAAAATTAATTATAAAATTAATAATTAAATAAGTAATAAAATTAACAATAAAATAATAATAATTTAAAGATAATGAAGCAGAATATTATAATTTACGTTGGTATTAGCACGCTCAAGGAAAGCTAGGTAAAGCCTTTATTACTATTAACTCTGATGAGAATAAGACCATATGATCTTAGGGTTTACTTTCAAAAACGTATATATCGAACAAGTTAAATATAATATAGTATATATAATAATTATAATAATAACTATATAAGAATATAATTTATAGAAATATTTTAAATGAAAATTTATAATAGTACTTATAAATGAAATAAAATATTAAGTATATTTATTCTTTAAAAATTAAAATCAAGTATTTTTATTGTTTAGTTTAAAATTTTCTCAACTTAATATATGTAGTATATTATTTAAAGATTTTATCTATAATACTATAATATATTTTAAGTTTTTAAGCAGAAATAAAAAGCAATTGAAATTAATAATAAAAAAATATTAATAATTTATTTTTTTTTAATTATTATTTCAGATCAATCGTCCAAATGCCAATAAATGTTTACCTCACGTGACGGATTTCTTTCCACATCCGGAAAAATGCAATTATTTTTATTATTGCATTAAAGGATTCTTAACAGTTCAGCAGTGTCCTTTCTACTATGGATGGGACATTGAACGTCGTTCTTGCGTTCAATTATCGCAAGCAAAATGCTATAATAACGCCAAATAAATTTTGAAAAAATAAAACAAATTTTATCATTCATTGCCATTTTTATTAGTTATCGTTTTTTTTTATCTTTAAGAAGACAATTTACAATACAGTGTACATATCTCATGTACTGACAAGCGACTTACCAGTTGGTACATAACGTGACATACATATATACCAATCACATTTGTATTGCAATCATTGTACCAAAACATATATTAAGTAATTTTTGTTGATAAGGTATTTTTACCAGAATTTGTCATTCCAAAACAATTTGTATTTCACAATTCATATATACATATAAAATATTATCAGAAGTCTAATTAACTAATGACAAACATATGTAAACCTGTTGCTTGACATCTCAACCTAAGAACACCACCACTGAAGAGCAATAATAATATTAACAATATTGACATTGTCCATTTGAAATGAGAATTACGGAAATATAAATAAAATCTTTTGTTAAATTGTGAACTATTGCATGTATTGCAAAAGTTTTAAAAAATACTTTTTATTTTATATATATTTTAAATAAAATATTTCTTCTAATTTCATAATTTAATATAATAAGTAAATAACACCATATAAAAATTATTTTTAATCATATGTAACTATATACGTATATAAATTATTTGTATCAATCTTACTATATGAGTATTTAAAATTTCAATTAATTTGTATATAAAATGAATAAAATTTTAGACAAATTTTTTAAGTACTGCTTTTTATATAAAGACTTATTATTTCTAATACTATGTTCAGACACATCTTATTTTTGCAAAAATCAATTTCATCTTCGTTTCAACGAAATTAAGTTGTTTTTTCCATACAAATTTCAGTTTTCAGTTAGAACGAAATTAAGAAAAATGGCCTTAACTTCGCTGAAACGAAGGCTGAAATCAAGGGACATTTCAAATGCAACTATGCGTAAGATAAACTATACTTAAGAAAAAAGCAAAAGATAAAGTTGAGATTACGAAAAACTGACATTTTTTTGAAATAAATATCAATAACAATTGACTTTAATAAAACCGGGAAAATAAAGAAAAATTACAACTGTTACAACTCTATATTAATTTTGTGCAAGTAGAAAAATGAAATTGAACACCATTTTGAAAATAGTGATGTGTGATTTTAAAGTTTTTTATGCAAAATTTTATATGTGATTTTAATAATATTTTAAATGTATACTTGTGAGATATATAATATAGTTAAAAAAAATATATTTATATATATAAATATATTTATTTTTTTAAATAATTCGTACAAAATATTTATTTCGTAAAAGTAGAAAAATGAAATTGAACGCCATTTTAAAAATAGTGATGTGTGATTATACAGTTTTTTATGCAAAATTTTATATGTAATTTTAATATTATTTTAAATGTTAAAAAATATATAAAATCTCTACATAGTAGTAGATTTATGTATATTGGATTTATATCGAAATTCACCAAAATAATTCTTCACACTCAATCTGCAATAGAGTATGCACGTATGACTTATGTTAAATGTGCCAACGAAAGGTAAGTAACTTACTATTTTTATCTACAAGCAGTGGCGTAGCAAGTGGGGAATGTAATAGATGTTATCTACTCGAATTTGAAAAATATATTTTAAATAAATTATAAAAAATAATTATGAATATAATAAAATATATATGAATATAATCATATTATATACTTATATAATTATGAATATAAGTATGTATGAGTTTATCCACGTTTGACTGGTTGAAAAAAAAAAATGAAAGTATCTCAGCAGTAAATTCAGGAATGGTAATAAGCGTAGATATGTTGAAAGAAAAAGTGAATCACATTAACAAGTGTCATTGAGGGTAACTGCTAAACTGGTAACTTACTTTTATAAATTTTTGATCGATAATTTCAGTGCTAAAACGCTTACCTACTATTTCAAAATTTTAACTTACCTTACTTTATCCTAAGGTTCTGCGCGTTTGCTTTTCAAAACAATAAAAAACGCAGTTTAATAATAATAATTATAATACACTTTATTTAATATTTAACATTAGTAAAATTTTCATAAATAGTTTTCCGTTTCCTGTTAGTTTAGACTTTGGCAATGCCTTTTACTCATTTCAAAAATGTTAATTTATTTAAATTAACTAACTGTCTTTATTAAAACTTACATTTATATAAAGTTTAGCATACAGAGTACAATCTGCTGTATATTCTAATATTAAGTAACTTTAACCAAGTCTTATTTTTACTGTCCAAAATATTAAGAAAGAAAACAAAAATATTTTATTAATAAAAAACACTATTTTAAATAATAAATACTATTTATATTTTTATAAAGCTCTAATTGTTTTAAAATCGTGAACAACACTGTCATTTTTACCGGAATTTTTTAAATAACCTTCCATAAAGAATATTTAAAAGCAAACCAGAGTTTTTAAGCATAATGTTTTGTGCAGGCATCAGTTATTGATAATTACATGCTTCGACAAAGTAAATCACTTCTAATTTTCATCTATATTGGTACCGCCGTTTCTCAAGAACGGATAAATACACTGCTTAAAATAAAATACATGTGTTATATGTACAGACCTGAATATATTTGGTGTTAAGGTTAGGAATAAGTCCAAAAAACTACAAATAACTTTAGTTCAAAAAAAGGTTAATTCATTGATTTAAAGTATTTCTACAAATCCAACTTCATATGTAAATTATAGTGTGGAACCTATATTACAGAGCTTCACTTATTAATCAGATGTGAGATGTGAGGTAGGCACCTAGGTACTTCTTCCGTTTATTTATCAAAAACGGAAAAGATGATCAAAAAAAAATATGATCCGACGATTGGCACCATCTATCGCAGGATCAATTTAATACTTGTTGCGTACAAGTTCCTTTCAACTTCACTATCTGGAAGATTCAAGCCACATGCCAACTCAGATTAGACCTTAATTTGTGTCTCGATCTGGTCGCTCTACTATTGATCAGAGGTTCACACTGCAACAAATTGTGGAATGAGCTCACAAACATAACATCATTACCTAAACATATTTTGTCGACTATTAAACATTTGAAGTTTTAAGCGGTATAAAACAGACAAAGTTTTCGCGCTATAGATCATCCATTCTACAGCTTTTGTATGGCACAGAAAATAATGAAGCTGCGTTGGGAGCTTTCGAGAGAAAAGTTTTTTGTAAGGTCTTTGAACATATGCGAGTTGGTGACGACTACTGTATTTAAATAGACCACGAGCTATTCGATTTTTATCACAATATTGATATTTTTCAGCAAATGAACGTTCACCGACTGCGTTGACTTGGTCATGTCATAAGAATGGATGACGATGATCAGCGGAAAAGGTGTGTGAGCGATAGTCGAAAGAAGAAGACAAGAAAATAGTCCGTGTCTCCGGTGTAGTGATCAAGTTGATGAAGCACTAAAAACACCATATGTAGAACATTGGAGAGTCTCCAGTGGAGACACAACAAAGGTGCCTGGAAAGAAGTCAGATCGAAACTCTAACTGGTTGTTATGGTCATTTATGTTAATAAGTAAGTTAGTAAAACCAATAATGAAAAATCAGAAATAAAAGCAAAATTTAATTTGGATTCTTATTTACTTAGCAAACAAAGAAAACTATATGTCGCAACTTCAGTCTTGCAATTCACGAAACAGTTTTTTTAAATACTGATTTATACTGTTTAATTTAGTAATGAAATTTCAATATTTTAAATTGTAACAAACATAAAATATATTTCGAAAACCAATATTCAATACTACCCAACGATTTTGTTTAATCATATGATTTATTTATATCTCTGTAAATTATTAAGCATACGCAGATGTATTGCAAAGCTGTACAATACTAAAAACATCAAACCGTAGTACAATTTTCTGTTTTCATAATATTTTTAACATGTCAATGTAAAACAAGAAGAACAGAAGTCATTTACTTAATTAATATTAAACAATTAGTAATACATTAAGTGATGAATATTTTCTATATAAGGTGGAAAAATTCAAGTTCAAGGTATGCATTTGTGTATTGGTAAGTAAGAATAAGATAAGTTCGTCACTTGAAAAAAATGCGCCTTAGTAAGTAAAATTTTTTTAAAAAATGAAGACTTAAAACTTAATAATGATTTATTTTTAGGTCTTTTATTATTCAGTTGCATTTTATTATTGCCTGTCATAACTGCTGTAGATATATGCACCAGTACTGACTTTGGACAAAAAGTACAGGATCCTGTAAATGCACAGGGGTATTATGTTTGCTTAGGAAAACTTGGAAAATTTGTTGAATATTGTGAGGATGGATACATTTTCAATATAAATCAACAACGCTGCGTAATAACTACTAATCAAAAAAGTCAATTAGACTTACATTCTTGCTCATGCTCAGCGAATTTATACCCAGTTATAGGAAGCATAACTTGGTTGCCTATTGCATTTTTGCCATTTTATACACAAACACCTTGTAATTGTAATAAAAAGAAAATTAACATAAGAAAACATTGCTTGGAATCGACGACAGTATGCGCAATAACACAACCAACAACTTTAAATACATTACATACACATCTTACTGAATGTTCTACAACATACTCCATTTCTACAACGCCAGGTACAACAGTTCCCACTTCTACTGAAGCAACTACAGTGTCTACTACAACAACTAAAGTAAATACAACACCAACAACATCAACTGAAACTACTAAAACAACAACAACATCAACAGTTAGTACTAGTTCCTCTTCTTGTACGAGTACTTCTTCCAATGTTGGTAGTACTACCACTTGCAGTACTACCACCGATTCCATTATAATCCCAACCACTTCTAAATCAAGCACAACTTCAGCTACAACAACTCAGGCCACAACAACGCCAAGAACTACGACTAACAGTAGTTCTTCTTCATTCACTAGTACAGTTTCTACTATTACCAGCACCAGCACTGTTGTTCCCTGCTCTGAAACCAGTGTTTCTACAACAATATCAACAACTGAATCAACGACTCTCTCTACTACAACAAGTGGTACAATCACAACACCCACCACAATCAAAACTACTACTATATCTACAACTACGAGTAGTTGCACACCATTGACCAGTAATTCTTTTACTACAGCCAGTACCAGCAGTGCAAGACCATGCTCTAAAACTACAACTGAAGTAGTAACCACCAGTACTGCTGCCTCTTCCACTACAACAAGTAAAACAATTACAACATCCACCACAACCAAAACTACCACTATATCTACAACTACGAGTAGTTGCACATCATTGACCAGTACAACTTCTACTACAGCCAGTACCAGCAGTGCTAGACCGTGCTCTAAAACTACAACTGAAGTAATAACCACCAGTACTGCTGCCTCTTCCACCACAATAAGTGCTTCTACAACATTATCAACTACAACTTCTATTACAACTAAACTTACAACAACAACTAAAACCACTACAACATCAACAACTACTAGTAGTTCTACTTCACTGACCACTAGTACCCCTACAATTGAAACAACAACAATATCCGTAACATCCAGCAGTACTACGCCTTGCAGTACAACCACAGTTTCTGTAACATTTCCAACGACTACAAAATTAAGCACAACAACAAATAAAACTCCATGTTCTTCTTTAACAACAACTAGCACTAGTACCATAAAGCCATGCACTAAAACTACTACTACAAAAAGTACTACTACCTGTAGTGCTGTGACCAGTACTCAGACTACAACGCTTCAAAGTACTACTGAATCAATTACAACTGGTACAACTACAATACTCACAACAACTGGGCTTATAACAACTAAATCTACAACAACCACCAGCCATTCTACGTCTTGTTCTAGTACAACAACAACTCCAACCACACAAACAACTACCACTGAAAAAACCTCAACTTGCTTAGTTACACAAACTGTAACTTGTAAGCCTACTTCTTGCCCAGTAAAGTGTACCGATAACCCTCTTAACTCTTATAAAGAAACTACTCCTGACTGTTCTATGTACCGAAATGGTGCTCTTATCCGAGATACATACGATTTTAATAAATACTATGTATGTGTAAGTGGACTTGCTGTACCCGAATATTGCGCGCCTGGTTTCCATTTTGATACACAGTTACTAGTTTGCAACTATGCAAACTTGGTTGATATGAAAAATTATGGAACATCAAATGATTATCCAAGTCCCCAATGTGAAAATACAGTGAAATGTTTAAACTTACCGAATGGCTCATACATAAGAGATCCGGAACTTTGTGCAAAATATTACGTTTGTTTTAATGGCCAACCCCTAACTCACTATTGTGAATCAGGGCATTGGTTTGATAATGAGCAGTTTATATGTAAAAATAAACAATTCGTTAAGAATTGTAACAATTAAAAAGAAATATTTAAACTAATAATATATAATATAGAGTATAAGGATTAATAATTGTTTTCTTTTTACTATATCTATAACTAAAATAGATTTATGCAAAATTCTTAAATAAAAATCCATAGAGATAATAGAGTATTTTTTTTTATATCGACAGCTTCAAACGTAAGTTGGAGTAATTATCTTCAATGTAATATTTTGTATATCAACAAATATCTAATACTCAGATATTAATTATTAATTGAATATAATATATAATATATATATAATATATATATAATATATATTATAATATATATATAAATATAATACGCATCATATATTATTTGCTTGAAGAGCTCCATGCGCTACCAAGATGGGCGTACAATTGTGGCGGTAAATAAATAGACAGGGATTAAAAAAAATATCTCTTTGAAAAAATTATCTACTGCAATATGTATGGACATAATGCATAAATCGGGTACTATCCAATGTTTACGAAGTGGATATTTTCTCGGCCTAAATCAAAAATAGAATAAATTGTTATTTTTGTTGGTATGAATATAGAAACCTATGTATGTATATATTTTAAATTAAACTGGAACAGAAACTAGAATGACTTAGTTTACTTATTTGGCCATAACAACCCGTTACCGAGTTTCGGCCTGCCGTAGTATGTCTCTCTAGGCGCCTCTGTTGCGTACGCGCTTTCTTCAGTCTCGTACGTCAACTGGATTACGTTAATGTACGCTTCAAATACCTTTATCGCTGGAGCGTCTTCATCCATTTTCATGACATGCCCAAACCAGTCTAGCCACTGGATGTTAAATCGCTGAATCATATCGACATCGTGATAAAGTTCGTACAGCTCATGGTTCTTGTGGATGTGGTGGCCGTCGCAAACCCGTTGAAAACCAAACAATTTATGGAAACTTTTTCCTCGTAAACTCTCATTGCTGCTTCATCATTCTGTAATAACAATCATACTTCTCCGATATGCAGAATCACAGTTAGGATCATTAACCTAGAAAGTGTAAATTTCTTTTATTGAATAAGAGCTCTACTTTCCGAATAGACCTTGCATTTGTGCTACTTTTTAAAATGTCGACGTCGCTTTTTCAATTATTTTAAAAAAATTTTATATGGATTTTATGTTTTATTTACAAACTAATTTATATTATTTTTTTTTGCATATTTTTAACACATTACAGTGTCTTATGGTTGTGCAAAGGCAAACGAAATTTTTATATGCATTATGCGAAGTAATGTTTGTACATAACAACACTAACAAAACAACTTTTGTTCAAATTTTTATCCCTATAAAAAATTTTTGATTTTGCGCCCAAATGGAAAGAATCCGCCTGTTTGAGCGGAAATTTCTTCGTGATTGCACCAACTATAATCGCAAGCCTGACGGCAAGCACTTCCCCATCTCTCTCCTTTACGACAATTCCAAGATCACTCGCATTGACAGGTACCTTTTGAAACGCGCTCGTAGGTACCTCACCCGACTCCATGACCTCCCCCCTGACGTCTCTATTCCTATTACCCTTACTGAATATCTGTTGTAGCCTTGCGCTTTAAACCTCCCCAATACCTATCCCACTATCTCGATGAATGGGACCGTAACCTCCACTCCATTCCCTTATATAACCACGGCTTTCGTGATCCCAGTCACAAAGTTTACCGCTAACCAAGCCCCCGCTCATCTGCTCTAACCACACTCCCTTCTCTATAACCCAATTTCCTTAATGTACGCCCTTGCTTTCTGGCTTAGATAAATTTAGCTCGCTAGTACTAAGTCTATTTTTTCTGCTCTCTCCCCTGATTACTTGAATGAAGTTTTCGCAATGCTTTGGAAATCTTCTCCATCTCACACGGTGGCTTTCGATGCATCCACCTACTGTCAAAAAAAAAAATTGATATTAATTATTTCTAGATGTTTTAATCAGTGTGAAGCACGTCTTGTGAAGTTGCAACGAGCAGTAATTTTTTTTAAAGCCAAAATACAAATTAAGATCATAATTGGTTTAACATAATTCAATTGTAGTTGCAACTACTTTTTTAATGTTCATACGGAATGAAGTCTTCATTTTGGTAGGCTTTTTTACTCCGAAGTTGGCATAATCTTTTTTCATGCATTGACTTGATTTCACGCTTTAGGAAGTGATGGGCTTCACTGTTTTAGAGGTTTAGTGTCAATTCTCATATATCTTAGTAACCATTCCATTAGAGATACAGTTTGATCAATAAATAACTTTTGTAATATATAAGGTTGTACATTTATTCTTTTCGCTATTGAGGCTACACATTTAGTTTAAACTATAAAATTCATAAAATAATTTAAAAACTTGTTACAGTTTATTACATATTAACTTTTTCTACAAGATTTCAAAATAGGATCGTAATTATATCCGATTGGACATTGATATATAAGCAAATATCCATTTAGGCATCTATAATAATAATTTGTGTTATCTAAATATGGGTAAGTATCATCAACTCCAGGCTGGCATTCATCTCTAACATTAAAAACTGTAGTTGTTGATATCAATGTTGTTGTTGTTGTGGGTTCGGTTACTATTGTAGGGATATTTGTTGTACTCTGAGTTAGTATAGGTGTTGTAGGAGTTACAGTTGTAGCAGTAACAGTTGTAGCAGTAACAGTTGTAGCAGCAACAGTTGTAGCAGCAACAGTTGTTGCGGTAACAGTTGTTGGATTTGATGTTGTTACTCCTTGATTACAATCGAATGAGTCTTCGCATTCCGTATTACAATATTGTGAATTTTCACCGTCACAATTTATCCATGTATATTCACAATTTTCATCAGGATTGGGAATAAAACCGGATTGATTTCCACATTCTGCTATAATTTTACTGTTAACTTCCACACTTCCAATTACAAAAATTAATAAAATAGTCACCAAACTTTTGCGAAACATTCTTTCGTACTTAAAACTTTTATGTAGTCCGCGCGGAAATATCTACTAAAAGTAATTATAATTAGTACCCGTTTTTATATAGAATTTCATCAGTTATATCTTACTATTATGTTTCAATATTCTTTAAGCTTATCTATACATACAATTAAAGCTTATCTAATAAAAAACATTATTCTTAATGAAATTTAATTAAATTTCATATACGAGTTATAGTGCATAGCTTAATCATTTTATGGGTTGGGGTATTTTTTTAAGTGTTGTAAAGAACCTTTTTTCTTATGCCGGGGTTTTTCTCGCCGGATCCCAGAGTCGTTACAAGAATATTTTTTCTCTGTAACCCTGAATCGTTCGTATAATAATTTTCAAGCCACTTAATTTTTTTTTAATTTCTTTATTAGTTTTCGGAATTTATTTTACAATATTTATAACTTATTTGCTAATAAATATATAATACATATTAAGAATTATAATAAGAATTTTTAATTAATGGTGGATTTGGAACCAACACTACCGACAAGGCTGTGTTGCTTAGGAACAGTGTTACCGATAGGGCTACACTGATGAGCTTGGAACCAACGCTACCGACAAGGCTGCGTTGCTTAGGAGCAGTGTTACCGATAGGGCTACACTGATGAGCTTGGAACCAACGCTACCGACAAGGCTGCGTTGCTTAGGAGCAGTGTTACCGATAGGGCTACACTGATGAGCTTGGAACCAACGCTACCGACAAGGCTGCGTTGCTTAGGAGCAGTGTTACCGATAGGGCTACACTGATGAGCTTGGAACCAACGCTACCGACAAGGCTGCGTTGCTTAGGAGCAGTGTTACCGATAGGGCTACACTGATGAGCTTGGAACCAACGCTACCGACAAGGCTGCGTTGCTTAGGAACAGTGTTACCGATTAGGCTACACTGATGAGCTTGGAACCAACGCTACCGACAAGGCTGCGTTGCTTAGGAGCAGTGTTACCGATTGGGCTACACTGATGGACTAGGAAAATGTTATTTAAATATTTTTAATTACCTGTTTATACACTTGATCTGGCTCTGTCAAGTGTTCTGCTTCGTGGCCTGCCATAGAGTGCCTTTCTATTAAAAAATTCCTCTTTTTATATAAATTCTGGAAACGGGACTTCTAATTGTTGAGTGCACTTTGTACAGCTTTGTTATTGTCCATTCTAAGTGTCTGCGTTTGGTATGCTTACTGTTGCTGCACATTTAAAATTTTACAAAATAGTTACCCTCAAACAAAAAGGTGTGTTATTACTTAATTTATATTTTAAAAGGAATTGCTTTTAATTTTTATTAAATTAATATTAACTTAATGATACTGATTTTATATACTAACTTAATAATACCTTAATTCTATTGTTGTTTTGTTTATTTTATTTTCTTGTTGTTTGTTTGTGACGAGATTCTAAAACTCGTCACACTCCCTCCCTTCATTGGAAAGGGGGAACGACCCGAATGGCACCAGAATTAGCTATGAGCACCTTATGCTTCGTTGCACCGCTTAGTACAAAAAATGTATGGCGACGACCTCGTTTTAGCTTTTCCGCGTCCTTTTTTATTTTCTCCCACAGTTCTGCATGTGTTGGTTCTGGGGCTAGTGGTGACATTGGTCGCAGCTGGCATATTTCCTGTAACTCTTTCATCAGGTCTTCCGCGGCTGTAATATCCAAGAAATCGGTGTCTTTTTTAGGTTTGGTTGGCGGACTAACCACTGGCCGCTTGGTTTCTACTCGTTTTTTACACCTTGGTTTTACTGGAATTGGCTCCTTTAAAAACTTGGCCCTGGGCTTGGCTCGTTCAATTGTTTCGAGCCGCTTTCGATATTTTTGAATGCTGGTGGTGAGCTTCTTATTTTGTTCGGGATGACTTACTACTACTGTACTTGGTTTTAGAGTAGTGTATTCTAATGGGCAATTGCTGATCCGTTGTTTGACTTTCATCTTGCTCCGTTGCTGTATACTATTCAACTCAATCCTCCTATAATTGTCTTCGCATTTTATAGGAATTTTTTATTAAGTAGATCCCGTTACTCCTGCTGCAGTACATTCGGTATTTTGATTTATTTATGGTAATATGTTTTAAGTTCGCTAACATGAGCTCTACTCTCTTTATGTGTTTGCATATGCTTGAGTTTGATAATGACTGGCGATATAAAATTGACCACCTGATAGGGTCCGGAGAACTTAGGTGCCAGTTTTGCAGCAAAATGAGCCTGAGCGTTGGATAGAGGATGCGTTTTAACTAAAACCATATCGCCAATCTGTGGTTTCCATGCCCTATGTCGTAAATTATAGTGCTTGGCTTGGTCTTGGGAAGCTGACTGTAGGTTAAGTTTCACAATTTGTTGTATTTCTTGCATTTCGTGTTGCTTGGTTTCAAGGGGTATCGGTGCGCAGTTTGTTCCAAGTGTGGTTTCATCGAAGAGTGCACTTGGGAGTCTGGGGGTTCTTCCGTGTATAATATAAGCTGGACTGTAACCCGTAGATGTGGATACGCTGGAGTTGAGTGCTAACATTATTTCAGGTAGATGCTCGTCCCATTTTCGCTGTTCCTGTTCTGATACTTGTGCAATTATTGTTTTTAACGTTCGATTGGTGCGTTCTACCGGATTCTCTTGGGGAGTGTATGGTGCTGTGAATTGATGACGAATTCCAAGATCTTCAAGAAATTTTCTCAATGCTCTGCTATTGAATTGTGATCCATTGTCTGTGAGTAGTACCTTTGGGACTCCAACTCTAGATATTATGTTTTCTCGTAACGCTCTTTTTACTCCATTTGTTGTAGCAGATTTGAGTGGGATAACTTCGGTCCATTTACTGAATTTATCCAGAAGAACCAATGCTACTGTATTTCCTTTGTATGATCGAGGTAGCGGCCCAATGAAATCAGCACAGAGTACTGCCCACGGTTCATTTGGTATTTCTGTTAACATTTTCCCGGCAGGTTTTAGTTGGCTTATTTTATACTGCTGACATGAGCTACAGTTTTGCACGTACTTCCTTATATCCCGGAAAATTCCAGGCCAATAATACTTTGATATCACGCGAAGAATAGTTTTCTTAATCCCAAGATGTCCGGCAGTTGGTTTATCGTGGCATTCCTCCATCACTCGTTGTCGTATTTCGGTTGGAACACAGAGTTTCCAAGCAGGGGAATCATTGTCTAGGTTGCTGCATAATATCCGCCGGTATAAGTTGCCATTCTCGATGGTGTAGTCTGGGTGTTTTTCTGGGTCTCCTTGTACTTCGTTTATCCGTCTTTGCAACCAAATGCATGAGGTAGGTTTTGTCTCTTGTACAACTGCTTGTGCGAATAATGGTAGTGGTTGTCGTGACAAGGCATCTGCAATTATATTTTGTTTGCCCTTCCGATATTCTATGTCGAAGGTATATTGTTGTAGCTCCAGGGCCCATCGAGCGATGCGTCCAGAGGGGTTATTAATTGAATTTAGCCATTTCAGAGCGAGATGGTCTGTTATCACTGTAAACCGGTAACCTTCTAAATATTGTCGCATCTTTCTTACTCCCCAAATGATTGCGAGGCATTCCTTCTCAGTAGTGGTGTAATTTTTCTCTGCCTTATTCAATGTTTGTTTGTGACGAGATTCTAAAACTCGTCACAGTGTGGCATATATAATAATTTCGTTGGATTACATTATTTTAAATTATAAGTATAATTATGACTATTTTAGTTACAATGATTGTTGTAAAAAAATTATATTAAAAAATCTATAAGTTGAATATTTGTTTAATATTTTTTAAGGTAAAGATTATTAAGTTTTATAAAACATTATATTAACGCAGCGAAATCTATTTGCTACTTTGAACTAAAATCCACACCATTTTATATTAGCTTTCATTAGAATATTTTAAAATTAAATTTCGAGTTTTCAATTCATTCTTTTTTTCGCAAGCCATTTAATATCGACGTCTCAGTTCATTATTTTAGCAATAGACAAAATTAAGCCTCTATTTGAGCAGTTCATAACAAACAATCGAAGTTACTTAAATGTGAAGTGATATGAAAATTTAGATACTCCAATAAGCACCACAAAAAGACAAGCACCAAAAACAATCCATTAAGATAGTTTGAATAGACGTCTGGTCAACGATTGATGTTTTTAAATCATGGCATCAAGGTCAACACGAAAATCGAAAGCGTTAAGTATTCAACCACCCAGTCGAGTGCTGCGAAAATAACCTGTTTCAAAGAGTATATAACACCCAACATTCAGATCTGAATGAATACTTATAAAAAATATAAAACACTATTACCCGGATTTGCATCGTTAATTGGGACTGACAAAATGAAACGCAAATCGAATCACATCTGTCCACATATTTAATGTTCAGAAATATTCTGCGTTTTTAACACTTGAAAATTACCTTTTAGCACATTAAATATCGACATAACATTATCCTGAATCAATGACATTCTTCTTCTGGTTTTCTATACTACTGGATAGAAGGGATTCCATTATTAGAATCAATAAACTTCTAGTTATTATAACTTATTTGGCCTGAAAATGTGTGTCAGCTTTTCCATAATCCTTTATCTTATCCACATCTCGATTACAAATTGTTCTTACAGTAGCAGGTTTTTCTCTAAATTTGAAATGTTTAACTTTTGTTGCAAGTAATTTTGTTTTCGACTCATTTTTATACTTTATAAAGCAAAAATTTAACTTTCTACTTCACCACACATATGTAAACTGACAAGTTTTACATAAAAACTTAATACCTTCTGCTCAAAAAGTACCCGGATTTTGTAAATAAAACACACAAATTTAAATTTTATTCCAAATTTATGTTCCTTTTGAAGCGATACACATATGCCAACGCTTAACCCAATCTTCCATACACTTTTCGTAGGCCCGTGAAGGTATGGCTTTTAGTTCCTTCAGCGAATTCTCTTTTACCGATTGAGTCAATCGACTCAAAACGCTTACCACGAAGGCTCAATTTGAGTTTCGGGAACAGGAAAAAGTCGCACGGATCCAGATCTGGCAAATATGGTGCCTGAGTGATGATAGTGGTGCCATGTTTGGTCAAAAAATCACGTACAACAAGAATGAGGTAGTCTCACATTAACTAATTGACAGATGGCGCTTAAATTTGTATCATATGTCAAGAAAGGGTTTGGTACACCCATAACAAAAAAAAAATTTTTGAAAAAGGTCTATTACTTAAGGAGTAGTTAACAAACAACAAAATCTTTGATACTTTTTGAGCATAAGGTACATGTAAATTAGGTTTTAAAAAATTTGACCTACATGAAATAAAATCGGATTTCACTCTGTACGCATGTATAAAAAAACGTCGCTAATCGAAACACTACCAATCCAAAACCTGTTTTTTTTTTGACAATTCGTGACAACTAAATCGGTGTATTAGTTTAGGATACTGTAGAATTTGACGACGCGTGCCCTATTTGGAAGGGTGTGCGGCTCTTCTTTAATGTTTTTTTTACATGTACCACTTAAATTAAAATATATGAGATGTTTTATTAATAATAACCATATTACAAGGTGAGATGAAAAAACTGCAACCAACTTCAGACTGCTGTCATTTCTAAACCGCTCGTCCCACAGCTGTCAGATTTATTCTAGTGACAGCTCATTATATTGTTTACAAGCGCACAAAAGCATTTTGGTGGGAATTTTTCAAAAAAAAAGTTATTTGTGATGGAATTCAAGCGTGATAGTGTGATTGCTTTGCATTTGGCTGGAAAACCACAAGTGGCTATCGTTAGAGCCCTCCAGCATTTAGAAGTGAATAAATGTTTTGTGTCTCGTACCATCGCTCGTTACCATGATACTGGTAGCGTAGCCCGACGTCAAGGAAGTGGACGAAAAAAAACAGCAACATCGGCAGAAATGGTTCGAAAAGTGAAAAAGCGAATTGAACGAAATCCGCGTCGCAGTGGACGAAAAATGGCTCGTGAGCTGAACATATCGCAATATGCCATTCGGCAAATATTGAAAAATGAGCTTGGACTAAAGCCATTCAAGTTCCAAAAAGTGCAAGATCTTACTGATGCGCAAAAAAAAGTTAGACTCGAAAAAGCTAAAGAGTTGTTTCGCTTGGCCGAAAGTGGTGAACTGCCGAATTTGGTTTTCTCCGATGAGAAACCATTCGTTATCCAGCAGTTTGTAAACAAACAAAATGATCGTGTTTACTTGCCAGAGAGGTCAGCTGAAAATTTGCAACTTCGGTTGGCCATCACAACTCAAAAGCCGGCCATGGTGATGGTGTGGGCCGCCATAACAGCCGATGGTCGCTCGCCGCTCGTATTCATCGACCGTGGTGTCAAATTAAATGCGCAAATCTATCGCGAAAATATTTTGGAGGGAGTTCTGAAGCCCTGGGCACGCAAACATTTCGGCCGCAGACCTTGGACATTCCAACAGGACTCAGCACCATCGCACTCAGCACGCGCCATCCAAGAATGGTTAAGAAATGAGGTTCCTCGCTTCATTTCCACCGCACAATGGCCACCAAAATCTCCGGATGCCAATCCGTTGGACTATTGTGCCTGGGGTATTTTGGAAAGCAAGGTTGGAACTAAAAAATACCAAAGTGTCGATCATCTCAAGCAAGCGCTTCGCCGAGAATGGGACAAAATACCGCAGAGCCACTTTCGGGCAGCAAAGGTGGCCAATTCGAACAAATCTAAACCGATTCTCAAATTTGATGTTATTTCCGACATTTTTTGCTTTCATTCAATAAAATTTAAAAAAAATGAAAAAATTATGGCGTTTTACTTTGTTGCAGTTTTTTCATCTCACCTTGTATATTAGGCAACAATATATTCGCAATATTATATTAACAATTCATTAACAAAATAACATATTAAACAAATTAAATTAATAATTTATATATAAATTTAATATATATCAATATGGAAAAAACAAAACTTTTCATATACTTGTAACATCAAACCAACTTTTTTCAAACAAAAGAGTTTGTACTTAGAAACATACATGTTTGTGCAGTGATCAAACAAAATCGAAACCACTTGCAATGTGCGCACAAGTACCCCGCACCATAAGAACAGAAATTCGTGGGTGCTGCTGTTAAAAGGGGAGAGACGAAATGTGATAGAAATGTATGGTGAGATGAGCTGCAAACTTCAGCAGCTCATGCAACTACTTTGGCAAATCATAATGTTGGATTCGTATGCATGCAGTTGATATTCGAATACAACAAAAATTTACTCTCATACAATTCCCACTATATAAATCTCTATCTCTGATATTACGAATGGGAGCACACGCACATTATTTTGTTCATATGCAACGTATGAATGTGCGGCCAACTTCTTTGCACACAAAGGGGAGAGACGAAATAAAATAGAAATGTTCTGTGATTTGAGCTGCAAATATATGAGCACACCTGATGTGAAGATACCTAATAAATTTATAGACCTATGTTATTTGACATTTTGCAAATTATGTTAGGGTGTTCACCGCACACCTCCGCACCTTAGAGCAATCGTCACTGTGTAGAAACCGTTACTGTAGAAACCGCATTCATTGTAGTTCAATACATGCTTCTGATAACTATTCGTAGAATACACTGTTCTTCTCGTCATATTAAATCCGAATGGCAGTTTTCTGAATTCTTTTCACACCTAAGAAATAGATTTTTAACACCGAGAGACTTCTAAGGCTTCTAATTCTATCCATTTATTCTTTCATTTCGTACAATGAAGGAACATTGAGGTAGAGTATACAATGTACAGAATGAGATTTATATGGCAATTACAGTAAATCGTGATACAGATATACGAAGATATAATGACGCAACTTGAACTGATATTGCGGTAATATTTACAACTGTAGATGATGAACCACCATTTCAGAGAAATATATGATAAATATGATATGATGATATGATATGAAATATGATACCGCACAAAGGGTGTGGTTAAGAATGTATCAGTATTATATTCTGCTTTGGATCCATTGGCATATCCTTTACTATTTCCAAATGGAGACTTTGGTTGGTGAATGGGAATGGGACGAGAAAACGAGTCAAAGCAATGCATAATAACATAAAAGTGCTCACTGAAGTTGCTCGCGGAAAACGTATTTTGATTCCACGCTTACACTTGACGTGTTCAGGGACTGCAATGCGACTTAATTTTCAAAGAACACAGTTACCAGTCATCAAGAAATCCCAAGGACATACATTTGATAGAGTTGAAATATTGTTGGGAAGACCTGTTTTTAAATTAAAATTAAATTTTATGTCAGTAACGAAGGTGGACAAGGTCATTTGACTAATGATAAAAGGCTGTTTACGAAAAATATTGTTTACACTGAACTTTTGAGAACTTTGTAATATAAAATATAGAATTACTTTAACATTGTTAATAAATTGTATTTTCTATTGGTATAATTTCGAACACTGGCGAGCCTAGTTTTTATAAATGTGAGCATGTTAAGTTCCCTTTAAATATATGAGCAGAGTCTGATATAGCGTAGTACTTTGCACTACTCCTTAGTTGGTTGTATTATTTTCATCACTTAAAAAACTGTTTACATATGTAAATTAATTAATGAAATAATTACTCATGTTAAATTACGTGAATAACCAATGGTTAATTGTTCACTTGTTTTACAAGTAAAAGTATCAAATCCATGTTTTAACATTTTCAACAGAACATGTGTTGAAGTGTCTATAAAATACTTTGTTCACATCTTTGTTCACAAAATGACTATTACATGAAATTCTACGAAAACATACATAAACAAGCATATTGAAGAGGTTAAAATAATTGATATGTAAGTTTTGAAGAGGTGTCAAATTCGTTAATATTCGGCGAAACTCCAAAAATATATAAACTTCACATCTTTTCTGTTGAAGAATTAGTTGAGAAATAGAAGAATTTCGAACTCAAGCTCAACTTGTGGCCTTAGTATAAAAATGAAATCTTGTAAGTACTACCAGGACCATAAAATTTCTCAATAATACATAATTTTTTTTTTAGATTTTTTCTTATTATTAACGATTTGGTTTTTGTTGCATTGCGCTAACGCTGCCCGCATCAAAACTTTAACAAAAATAAATGGTCCACTGGTTCGAAAACTTTTAATTAAGCATCCAATAGTATTCTTGACAATACCAGATTGTTCTCTTTACACCGATGGAGCCTTTCTTCCAGATCCATCAAGTTGTTCATCTTATTATATGTGTGTTAATGGAAAGGCGGTAAAACGTCAATGTGCATCAGGACTTTTATTTGATAGTACGAAGTATATTTGCAATCTTGCCGCACTTGTTGATTGTGATTTAGATGACGATGATAGTGATACCACACCTTCACCGCTAGCTGACACAACAACTGAAACAACTGAAACAACAACTACAACAACACATAGTAGAAGGTTAATAAGACCATATCGTCATTATTCTCATTCTGGTTCATGCTATACAACACCATGTCCTCCTCCATGTCTTTCAACGCCGTGCCCGCAGCTACCTTGTACATCATCTTATCAACAGTTGCCTTGTACATCATCTTATCCACAGCTACCTTGTACAACACCTTGTTCACGGCTGCCTTGTACAACACCTTGCTCGCAACGACCTTGTACAACTCCTTGCCCACAATTACCATGTACAACGCCTTGCCCACAACGACCTTGTACAACACCTTGTCCACAACTACCATGTACAACGCCTTGCCCACAACGACCTTGTACAACAGCTTGTCCACAACTACCTTGTACAACGCCTTGCCCACAAAGACCTTGTACAACACCTTGCCCACAACAACCGTGCACGACACCTTGTCCACCACCTTGTCAAGAACCATCATATACTGCTCCAATATACATTGCACCACCTTGCACTGAAGCTCCATATATTGTGCATCCATATATACCAACATATACGTATATCCCACCACATATACCAGTATATGAATCACCTCCATGCACGTCTCCATGTACACCGCCTTGTACACCTGTACCATGTACTACTAAAGCTCCTTCTGCTACGACTCCTAAGCCAGAAACAATAAAGCAGAAAATACGTATATTGCATAATTCAAGAGATTGCTCAACTTTAGCAGATGGGACTTTCTTACTCCATCCCAGACATTGTCAGCGGTATTATGTGTGTAAAAATCGAAGAGTGCATCGTCTACGATGTTCATCTGGCGAATGGTTCGATTACGAAGCACAAAAATGTCGACCAAAATTCGAAGTGCACAATTGTCCTGCACAATGTAATTAAATTTTTGTTTCAATATATGAAAAAAAATTAAAAACTATATTAAAAAATAAAATATTAATTAATTTCAGCTTAAAAACATTTTTTGTTTTATTAAATTTTATTTTTAAGTTTATAACGTATGGTCACTTCAGGTAAACTACAAAATATATATACTCCATATAAATATGGAGTAATACATTTAATGAATAAAGTTTAACGCTTCTTTCTGTATTAAAAACTTAGTCCTTGTTAGCAGGACAATTGCGTACATTTTTAGGAAAATCGCACACAAATTTTTCCCTGTCATACCACATTCCAATTTGGCAAAATTGTTGTACGGGTGTTCCTTCCACACAAATCCAAAATAAGCGGCAATGATCTTTATTTGGAAAACGATAACCATGTTCATGATTTTGGCACGTTTTGTATGGATCATCTGTTGTTGTTGGATCAGTTGTGGTTGTTGGAGTAGGTGTTGTAGTTACAATAGAGCAATGACATGGTGGACATTTTCCGACTACACAATTTTGTGCGTCCATGTCAAATTTTGTTCCAGAAGCGCAATAATGCAATATTAATTTATTGTTCCAACACTGAATATATGCCGTACAATCCGTTTCATCAATGAATTTCCGACCATTTTCTTGATCGCTGCATTGAGTTTTCGGCCACAAATTCAATCTATTCTCATTGAAATCACCGGGTATTTGTTCAATAATTTGTTCACCACATAATAATTTCAGCAATGGTGCCGTTATGAAAAAAAGAAATACTGGGCATGGATTTTATTTATATACTCCAACAATAAATCTAAATATCATTCAAATACCTTTTTTCATTATAAAATCAGTTAGTTAAAATAATTAATAAAATATATATATTTTATGACTTCTTACTGTCAATAAATAACAATTACTAATTGCCATTCCTTGGCGTGATTGCTTTATAGGCTTCTTCTATTAAACAGATTATGACAATTATTTACTCTTTCAAATCCATTGTGAAGTTGAAGTAGATTAATTTATTTACAATCAAGTTGACCTAAAAATAGTTTTGCAAAATTTCTAACTAAACACTTTAAATTTTATCAGTTTCGCTAACTTTTATGAAAGAAAATAGCTTGGAGTTTTGTTGCATTTATTGTTAAATAAAATACTAATAATATGATGTTATAATAATGAAGCTCTTTAATTTTAATTCATTTTTGTATAAATCACATTTAAAATATAAATACATACCACATTAAATTTGGATATAATCTTGTAAGTTATATCCTACGCGATTTGAGATTTGAGAGCGGGGAATGCTTTTGATAGAGTCATTATTCTATCGGTGTTCCTAGCCGTGCTAGTACAATAATTGTACAGTAATTCATATCTTATTTACTTCATTCTTTTACGAAAATGTAACTAGAGTATCGTGATTAATAGAAAGAAATGGTTTAACCATATGAAACCTTAATGTACCAGAGCTTGCTAATAATGTTTAAGTTAGATTCATTTTTAGAGTTCTTATTACTACGTGAATGGCAGTCCGTTTATAGAAGACCGCAATAGGTAGTTGCATAAAAGAATTGGTTCAATTATAAAATAAATTATTTCAGAAATGATAGCTATAGTAAAGAAGGCGTAAGAATGAATTGATTTAACTAACGATCAAGATATGCTGGAACTATTAATATTAGTAATAGTTTTATAAAAGTATAATATAATATACTACTGTAGTAGTAATATAATAGTATTCTTGTTTACACACAAAAAAAAATAGTATTTGTTAATACTATTAACTAATATTTCTGATTGTTGATACAACAAACGAAAGTTTATATAATTAAAAATATTACTAATTATAATATATAGAATTGAAATTGTTGTAAGTAGATTCCATTATGTGACAACAAGATTTTGGCAAATCATGTAAAACTTGAAAAAACAAGATATTTCAAGTGATTTAAGTAATGAAAACAGTAATGCATAAGTAAGTTGAAAAAATTACACTTATGCAAATATTTGACAATATATAAAATCAAATAAATGTATAAAAATTGTGATTTTTTGAAGTAAAAATCAGTAGAAAGGTAAGACAGATCCATAGAGTAATAACTGTTCTCAATTACAACTATGCGAACCTGTAAGTAAAAATACAATGAAAATAAGCAAACTAATTCAAATGAATTCCTTAAAAAATTTAGATTACTTGCTACTATTAACCCTTTTATTGGGACCTCAATTAATAGATGCCTATCGTAATAAAAATTTTTACCAAAAATTTCGTCATATAACTCGTCGACGCTTTAGCAAGCAGCCAATATTTTACAGAGAAATACCAGACTGCTCTAGATTCGCAAATGGAGCATTTATACCAGATCCTACAAGCTGCTCAAGTTTTTATATGTGCATTGATGGAGAACCAATTCCTCAAGAATGCGCCACTGGGCTTTTGTTTGACAGCACAAAGTTCCATTGTAATGTGGCATCAGAAGTTAGTTGTGATTTAAATCAAGTTGATGCAGTTGAAGAAACTACAACAGTTACAACTACAACAGTTACAACTACAACAGTTACAACTACAACAGTTACAACTACAATGCAATCAAGAAAGGTAGTTCAGCGTGAAACAACCCAATCACCTTTACTACATATACCATATTGGCGACATTATTTACCGAAACCATGTCCACAATTACCGATACAACGGCCTTGCACACCAACACCTTGTCCTTCAGTTCCACAGCCGCCATACCAATATCATCCTCAACCATTGATCCAATGGGCATCCCATCATCATCCACTGTCTCCTCATAGGCCAATGACTCCCTGCATCACTATGGTTCCACCAACTCCATGTTACACAACACAGCAGCCTTGTACGCCAACACCCTGTATACTAACCCAACAACCTTGCACACCAACTCCATGTTATACAACACAACAATCCTGTACGTCAACACCATGTATACTAACTGAACAGCCTTGCACACCAACACCATGTATACTGACCCAACAGCCTTGCACACCAACACCGTGTATATTAACTGTACAGCCTTGCACACCAACACCGTGTATATTAACTGTACAGCCTTGCACACCAACACCTTGTATACCGACTGAACAGCCTTGTACACCAACACCATGCATTCCAACTGAGCAGCCTTGTACACCAACACCATGTACACCGACCCAACAACCTTGTACGCCAACACCATGTATATCAACTCAACAACCTTGCACACCAACACCGTGTATATTAACTGTACAGCCTTGCACACCAACACCATGTATACCGACACAACAGCCGTCTACTCAAACTTCCTGTCCTCCAGCCCCGCAACCGCAATACCATCATCAACCACAATATCACGCTCAACTATCGTACCAACAACCACTATCTAATTATCAGCCTCCACAACAACATCAATGGGCATCCCATCGTCATCCACAATCTTCGCACAGACCAATAACATGTATACCGACCCAACAACCTTGTACGCCAACACCATGTACAACACAGCAGCCTTGTACACCAACACCATGCATTCCAACTGAGCAGCCTTGTACACCAACACCATGTACACCGACCCAACAACCTTGTACGCCAACACCATGTATATCAACTCAAAAGCCGTGTACACCAACACCATGTATACCGACACAACAGCCGTCTACTCAAACTCCCTGTCCTCCAGCCCCGCAACCGCAATACCATTATCAACCACAATATCACGCCCAACTATCATACCAACAACCACCTCCTCAATATCAACCTCTACAACAACATCATCGTCATCCACAATCTTCGCATAGACCAGTGACTTCCTGCATTACCACGGATCAACCAATGCCATGTTATACAACACAACAACCTTGTACACCAACACCATGTATACCTACACAACAGCCGTCTACTCAAACTCCCTGTGCTCCAGCTCCGCAACCGCAATACCATCATCAACCACAATATCACGCTCAACTATCGTACCAACAACCACCTCCTAAATATCAAACTCCACAACAACATCAATGGGCATCCCATCGCCATCCACAATCTTCGCACAGACTAGTGACTCCTTGCATTACCACGGTTCAACCAACTCCATGTTATACAACACAACAGCCATGTACTCCTACTCCCTGTCCTCCAGCTCCACAACCACAACAGCATCATTTACCACAATCTCACCAATAGCTTTCGTACCAACAATCACCTTCTCAATATTAGTATTCACAACAACATCAACGGGCATCCTATTACCATCCACAATCTACACACACACCAGTGATCTGCATTACTACAATTCCACCAACTCCATGTTATAGAACACAACAGCCTCGTACCCTAGCACCAATAACCTTGTACATCATCACAACGGTGTCAAAGTCAATGTCAAGTAAAGTCCCAATGACTGCGCAACATTAAGCGATGGTACATTCTTACTCCATCCAAGACATTGTCGCCGTTATTTTATACAACAAAACTGTAGAGTGCAACATCTTCGGTGTCAAGGATGTCAATCGTTTGATTAAGCTTGATGTCTATAATTGCCCCGTACGAAGATATTAAATTAAAATTTAACATTGATAAATGACTTTGATTTAATATTCAAAGTATTGATGTAATTAAAATATTTAAATTTATTCTAAAATACTGTATTTATACATAAAAATTAAATTTGATGTGTATCTATAAGAATTGTTTGATATGTCACTGACAAATGAAAGGTCTGAGTTCTGATTTCTTTTAGTATTTTGAAACTCACACACTCACTTTCACGACATTCCAGTGTTTTTTCACCTTCTCGGAAATAGGCTTTTTGGAGGAAATTGCATTCAAAAAGGATTTGAATATGGGGTGCCTTATGACAGGACAGAGTCATTCCATTTTTTTGATTAAAAATTTACTTATATATAATTATTTAAACTATAAATCAAATAACTTTCATGCAAGATTTTGGTAGAAGGCACATTATCTGTGTCCGTCCCGTTATCAAATATATATGACAGTTATAAAAAATTTTTACCAGACGTAACTTAACTAATTCACCTCGTCAAATTGAACAGAAATATATAGTACATTTATAATTTACTGGATCGTCGTCACTATTTATATTTTGAGCATAATAATGAAAAAATATTAACTTCTCGTTGAAAATTACTTTATTGTTTCTTAAAGTATTCTTCTTTATGATTAATACACTTTTGCATGCCTTAGAACCATTTGTCAAAGCATTTCTTTAAATCTTCTTCAGACACCTCCTAAGCATGCTTTTTAAATGCAATAACGGTTTCTTCCGCCGACAAAAATCGTTGTCCAGCACTCATTGGATATTAAATCAGGACAGATGTGTGAGCACTCGCATTGTCTTAATGCCATGAAGAATGATCCGACAGCGCTTGTTTGTTTTCCATATTTCATTGAAAATTTCCGGAAAACAAATGGTTGTATACCATTTGAAATTGACCGTTTACGTTATTGCAATGGTACGAATATAGTTGCCACATGACCAGTTTTCCCGAAAAAACAAGCAATCATTTGTTTCGAAGTGTTTCAAGTGCGAACCACTTTTGTTGGATTTGGTTCATCTTGAAGCACTCACACAGTCGACTACTGTTTACGTTCCGGCTCATATGCACATATTCATGATTCTTCACCTGTCACCTGTTACAATCTTATACAAGTATCGTCTTTTGAAGCATTGCCATTGTGTTCTTGATTATTTGTGTGAGTATTTGAGATGCGTCAGATGATGGGGATTCAAAGAGAACAAACGTTTTTCACAAAATTTTTTCGTACAAATTTTATATATGCTAGTGAAACTAATGCCTAGGGTTCGACCTCAACCTCAATCTCATAGTATGTCGCATGGCGATCTTCCATTACGAGTATCAGTTTTTGCACAGCATCAATGTTTTCTGGCACAACAACTGATTTTGGACGACTTTCACGAATTACGGTCACCGTTAGTGTGCAAAGTGCGGTCACGATTAAAATCATTGTATTAGCGTTTCACAGCGGGAATGGATGGAGCTTCATCGCCACTTGATCGATGCACTCTTCTCTTGATACTCGTAATCCACGTCGAAAGTAGTATTAAATCATCGCTGGAAAATTTTCTCGCTTTAATTCCATTTTCTAACGAAAACTCAATTTTAAACGGTAAAGTAAAATAATATCACTTCTTTTGTTATTGACCTTCGTTGCCTGGCTTTGAAAGGTGGATTAGCACACCATCGACTGTTCTCCCGTTTCTGGGTCGTACTTGTAAAATTAATTTTTATAAAATTTTTAAAGAAAATATAGAAAAGAGAGTGTACGCGTCTCTTTTCGGTTATCAGTTACAATTTGAATAAATAATCGTGCTAATTTCTTCTTAATATTTGCAATACAACCACTATATTCAAGCCCAATTAAGCAGCACTCACTTCCTGGGATAATTTTAGAACTTCACCAATTTTAGACTTCACCGGACATGCTCAAATAGTCGGTTCGACTTTCGTCCTCTACAGAAAAGTATCTAGTCGAGAATCTCCAAAACTAGATGGAGAGGGTCACAAGCGATAACACATTTTCTTCATATTCTATTTGACACTAATTACGTATTTTTAAAGGCACAAGGTGTTTTCACAGATTTCCGAAATACTTAAGAAATGAGAAATCTAATCTCCTAATAGTATGGCGGGAGAATTTGCACAGACTCTTCACCTTTTTATTTTTCTATCCTGCAACACCTGGATACTTAGTCAAACGGGACGCCAAATTCTTTAACACAGGTGACCACATACACCATTGGTTTTGACATTTTGATTTTGATTCTGTTTAGCACGATATTCATTTTTGATCAATTGTAGCTCAGCTATATTAAATTAGATTTTTCACATCCTAGCCCCTCCTTGATGCCTAGATCTCAGATCAAGGATATTGTGCAATCCAATCACTGAGCTCAGTTGAGGTTTGTACTGTTTTATAATTTCATTGTACATTTTCTCCGAAGTCAGTCACTTGTCCTAATTTCGAATTGTCTCTTTGAATACTCAAATTATATTCGTATGGTGCACAATTTCCACATTGAATATTTACAATTTCCTTAGATGTTGTCTTAGTACACAAAAAAGTAGAAATAGTTATTCAAGAAATCCTGTGAAATTGGCTGCTGAACAAACTATTATATCTTTTAGTATAAAAAAAAGTGATGTGTCCTTACCGGGATCTATGCAAATCTATGCGGTCTTTGCAGTTAGTTAACGAAATTACTAACAAGGATGTTTTGTCTAGAATTTAAAGGTAATAATATTTGTATCATTTTCTAAGCTGTATATCATGTACAAGATTATATGTCAAGATATCACTTTAGATTTCAATCAATTTGATAAATTAGTTCACAGATTCATTTTAAATGGTATTTGTCTCATGTATCACAAAATGAGATATTTTGACAGTGAGGAGGGGTTTTGATAGAGGATTATTTTTGAGCACAACTTCATTGTGGAAAAATACAATATTAATAGTTTTAAAATAAATTATTTCCTCTTTGTTCATATGTCTCAAATATTTTACTTTTTTTTTATTATTGTTTACATATATTTTAAACATTTTAACTTATTAATAACCCATGTTTTTTTATGACTTTAACAACATTCCGAACTTCACCTTATTACCAATTTAAATATATTAAACAAATAATTGAAATTGCATTTCCGATATTATGATTTTTAAATATAATGAAATACTTAAACATACAAGAATTTCAAGTGAGTTAAGTAATTGGAGAACTTCTTGTAAATGGGAAGTACTTAACTTATGTAGACATTTGCCAAATAACTAAAATTCAACAAATAGTATAAAAGTCGTTTAATTTTGTGGTACAAATCAGTAGAAAGGTAAAAGAGTTCCATAGAGTAACCATATTTGTATACTTTATAACTATGCAATCCTGTAAGTGTGCATAATATCACCTAGTAAAGCTTAATATAATAGAAGTTATTTACTATATTTTCAGATTACTTGCTACTTTTTTCAATATTATTGGGACCTCAATTATTAAACGCCCATATTATTTGGCAACCTACACCATGTCCACCAACTCCACCACCATGCGAAATAATTGAGTGGCCATCATCACCTCAACCTTGCGCACCAACTCCGTGTCCACAAACACCACCACCATGCCAAACAACACCGTGTCCTCCACCACCTCGGCCTTGTGAAACAACAGCTTGTGTACAAACACCAGCTCCATGTTCAATAATAGTTTGGCCAACTCCATGCCCGCAAACGCAACAGCCTTGCACACCAACACCATGTATAACGACAGAACAGCCGTGCACTCCAACTCCCTGTCCTCCAGCTCCAGCTCCGCAACCACAATACCATTATCAACCACAATATCACGCCCAACTATCGTACCAACAACCACCATCTCATTATCAGCCTCCACAACAAAATCAATGGGCATCCTATCGTCATCCACCATCTCCTCACAGACTAGTGACTCCATGTATTACCACGGTTCAACCAACACCATGTTATACAACACAACAGCCTTGTACTCCAACACCATGTATACCGACTGAACAGCCTTGTACGCCAACACCATGCATACCAACTGAGCAGCCTTGTACGCCAACACCATGCATACCAACTGAGCAGCCTTGTACCCCAACACCATGTATACCAACTGAACAACCTTGTACCCCAACACCATGCATACCAACTGAGCAGCCTTGTACACCAACACCATGTATACCGACCCAACAACCCTGTTCACCAACACCTTGCCCTCAAACTACACAACCGCCTCCAGTCTGGCAACATCCTCCAATCTGGCAACATGCTCCAGTTTGGCAACATCCTCCAATCTATCAACAGCCTTCAATCTGGCATCAGCCTCCTACTCCTTGCACAACTCCATGTACAACAACTTCCACAGCTCCGTGCACTCCACCTTGCACAACTCCGTGCACTCCACCTTGCACAACTCCGTGCACTCCACCTTGCACAACTCCGTGCACTCCACCTTGCACAACTCCGTGCACTCCACCTTGCACAACTCCCTGTGCTCCACCAACCATTCACTATCATCAGCAAAAACCAATTGGACCACATCACCAACTGCCTCCAATTTGGCAACATCCACCGATCTGGCAGCATCCTCCAACACCCCGTACAACTACATGCACTCCACCTTGCACCACACCATGTACTCCACCGTGTTACACAACACCCTGTACAACTCCATGCACTCCACCTTGCACCACACCATGTACTCCACCGTGTTACACAACAACATGTACTACAACTTCTACTACTGCTAATCCCACTATAAACCCACGTATCTTACGAAGTCCCAATGACTGTGCAACATTAAGCGATGGTACATTCTTACTCCATCCAAGACATTGTCGCCGTTATTTTGTATGCCAAAACCGTAGAGTGCAACATCTTCGTTGTCAAGCAGGACAATGGTTTGATTACGAGTTGCGCGAATGTCGTCGTAAGCGTGATGTCTATAATTGTCCTGCTCGAAGAAATTAAATTGATTCTCATAAGTAGAAAAAATTTATTTAATCATTTCTTTCGATAAACGATATACGCATATCTACAATATTTAAAATTAGCAGCAAAAGCAAGTCAAAAAGATTTCAATTATGTTTCACAAAATTTAATAAATTAAGTAGCATTCAAAAACAGATTTTTTACTTTCATTCAATTTTTGATATAATATTGTATAATAGGTATTATGAAAACGAGTATGTGTAGACTAATGATATTTCTTAGCGCGCTTCATCTCAACGATCTAAATTATATTAGATAATACTTTTAGTTACAGTTGTCTTAGCTGCACTTCTTTTTCAGTAATTTCTGATATAAGACATATTTCAACACAGAAATGGAACGATTTACATTGAAGAGTTTAAAATTATTAATGGTGCATTAGAGACGTCTACTTCAATAGATTTAACATATATTAATCTTTTCATATATGTAATATCCAAGTTTGATATTTTGAAAAACTTCAACTTTACTCTAGACCTCGTTATTTGGGAAGCTAGCTTTAAAGTGTTTAAGTGGCAAAAGTCGCATCGGAACATATGACTGACAAAATACCACTGGTATACAAACAGCTCATGACTTTTCCTAGTGACAGAACAAAGGTAACTCTTTTTGCGTTCTTACCCAGACCTAGCATACAATAGGTAAGCGCTATATAATTTATTTATTTCTATTCACCCCTGTTATAGCCGCGGAATATCTTCATAAATCCGTGTACTCTGATTTTTTGTGTTAACATATGGGTTGGCGATTTAACTGACAGAGTTTAATTTCTGACACTTGCAGTCAAAAAATTGTACACGGACAATTAATATTTGTTTAATATTGGAGGTTTCCTAAGAGAGAGTGATTATGGATGTTAGCGGTATCCGAAACAGCTGTATGTTCAGCCCAAGGAATTCATTTATTGAAAATTAAAAAAATTTAATTAAACCACAGACCAAACTATATAAAAATTAGTTGCTTTGGTAGTTTCATTTAACAACTTTACCGAGAAAGAATAGGAAAAAGGCATTCAGTCATTTTATCACCTAACCGACATCCGAGTTAACTAATAAAGTCTAAATATTGATCATACCCCTATTCTTTATACTAACAACATATATGATCAATTTTAAAATACAATTGTCAATTTATTACCTTAACTTCATTTTTTTGTGTAGATATGTAAGCACAAATTTACTCCTAATAGGCGAAAATTCTGACATTTAGTACTCTGTAACACTGAAAGTTGATGAAAATAAGAGTTCTGGAATATCTTTTGAAAATAATTTTATCATATTTTAAATATTGATTACTACTATATGATACAGCCTCCGGACCCAAAACATATAAGGTTGGGGAAGGGTAGGTTCCCCAAGGATTTATTTTAGGATCAATTCTATGGAATATCATGTACAATGGTATTCTTCAAATCGAAAATCTGGACGGAATAAACGTAGTTGGAAAAAACTTTAGATGAAGTGGTAGTAGGTCAATTGTAGTAGCTCAATCGTGGTTGCAATACAGTGGATTGGAGCTTGCTAAGAATAAAACAGAGAAGCTGTTAATCAGCAGTAACAAAAATATTGAAAAGCTATCAATTAAAGTGGGTGGTGTAGACATACCATCTTGCCACCAACTTACATATTTCGGTGTTAGCCTAAGTAGTAAGCTGAGATTCAAAACACACATAGGCTGAGTGGTCACAGGCTGTCAAAGTTATGCATCTGGCGTGCTTAGCGTACAGTAACGGACGACGCTGCGGGAGTTTAGTGGTTGGACGTATATCAATAGACCTTAAGGCGCTCACATTCTTATCTAGAAATAAGAGACAAAATTCTTAATAAATAGCAACATTGGTGGGATCATTCCAAAAAATTATGATGAACGCACTCGCTACTTCCGAACATAAAAGTTTGGGTTAATCGAGGTACTGGAGACTTGAAATTTCAATTAACAGTTGACAGTTTCTTACGGGGCATGGATGCTTCCGTGAACACTTATGGTATATCGGTTTAGGCTTGCAAGTAATCCATACTGCCAGTTTTGTCCAGATAAAATTGAGAGTCCCGCCCATATAATTAGAGACTATATAAAATTCGTAGATACCGAATAACATCTAGAGACACTAATCGGGTAAGCCAACGCTTCTTCTATAGTAAAGCAGATGTTGACAAGCACAGAAAACTGGAGTCTTTACAAGTGCATAATCTCTAGAACAATAAACATTGTTAAAACGGACAAAATACATATCACGCAATCAGAGTGAAAGCATGCTAAATAACCTGCCCTGTGAAAGACTACCTTAACTGGTCGTACAGTAGGGAGCTCCAGGATTTTAAGCTAATAATATAGGAACTTTTTAGGCATATATGACTGAAAGAGTTGGGCATGAATCGGGCATACAAATCGTACGGACCATTTATATTTTTAGAAGATTTTTCCTGGATTTGAACCAAAATAAAAACATTGTTTTGACCAACGTGACGAGGCTCAGTACGCCTCTCTCTCTTTACCACATTTTCATCACGACTAATCCAAGACTGAATTAATTTAGATGCAATTACAATTTGTTCTCATGACTCCAATATAGTAATTTTAAATCAGCTGATATAAAAATAGAGCAATTACATTGCGTTTCTTTGTCTGCATAGTATTTTGTGATCGGATTAAGCATGTGTTGTTTGTGTTTTTATATTGTTTTGCATTGCATGTACTCTATGATAAATAAGCACCACACCAACTCGAAAGTTTATTACCATCCACAAAAGACCCAATCGACTCCTTAGAAAAATGCGGGGTATACAAGATCAACTGCGGCTCCTGCAACAAAGTGTACATCGGACAAACAAAAAGACCCTTATCGGTAAGGCTCGAAGAACACCTAAAAGAAGCGAGGGAAGCACTGAAAAAAATAAACCCTCACATAAAATCAAATGTCGCCAGACATATAATAACGGAAAAACACCACATCAACAAAGAGAATGCCCAAATAATTAAAAACGTAAGGGATACCTGGAAATTAGAAACGGCAGAGAGCATCGAAATACACAAACATCAGGCAACATCGTTACTCAACGGCGATAAGGGAAACGTATCATCATGGCTTTTCAAATACATCCCAAAAAACAAATCCAACCAGTTGACCGAACTACCTGCGCATGATTAAGCCTGAACAACAAAAACTAACCCATCCCACCATTTTTTACCTAACACCCTCAAGGACAAAAACAACAATAACCCTACCAATTAGATTTAAATTATAAGACCTGTAATAAGTATAAATAGCTTGTAAGTTGCATAGATGTTTTTAATATTAGGAATCCTCCTGATGAAGGCAAAAGCGAATTTGCCGAAATACGTATAGAATTATACTAAAAAATAACGCACGAAATAAAAGTTAACATTCTTAAAAAACAAAACAGATTTTAATAAAAAAAAATAAGCACTATTTCCAATTTACGGTAACTTATAGAGCCGTAATTCAGGCTAAAGTCTAGTGATTATTATTCGTCGTTTGTGTAAAACATGTAATAATTTTATATATTAATTGCCTCAAATGCTTAAATACCGTAACTACTTTAATATTCACATTTAATATATATTTAATGTATTTTAAATTATTTTAATTAAATTAATAATTGAATTTTAATTATTTTTCTATCGTTTTACATATACATTTTATAATTCGTTACTTTAATATGAAAAAATCATGAAAGTAACCATTAAAATTTTGCATCACTAATATTTTTTGACATTTTATGTGCGTTTCTTTCGTAAATATATTATTAAGAATTTGAACATAAAAAGCAAGTAAATAACAAATTAATTTTAATTAATAACAATAATTAATATTAATTTTTAATAATTAATAGCAATATATTTAAAAAACATGGATGAAGATAATATTGTGTACACTCGCACAATTGTTCCCTCGACGATGCGCAGTCCATTTTGGAAATATTTTGGTTTCCCTTCGGATAATTCAAATAATATTCTAACACGAAAAAAAATAATTTGCACACTCTGCAACGCAGCGATTGCATATAATAAAAATACTTCAAATCTGCGTACTCATCTCATTGCAAAGCATCCCGAGAAATTGCAACAGGAACTCCAGATTCGCATCAGAGCAAAAAAAACGGATATGCAACTAGATAAAGAACATCTTGATGAAAATGGGAGACATTCATTTTTGGGCAATGACAGTGAAACGCATGTGGTTGTAGCTTGCGAAGACGACAGTTCTATTGATGAAAGTGCCGGAGTTGACTATATTTTGGAAGATGAGACAATCTTGAATAACCAACTTAGCACACCCAGTGTTGAAGCTAATGATATTATTTATATGGACACTAATGAGAAAAAGTGTTTGCAATTTTCTAACATGGACAATGTACATTTGCACGAGTTTCATGTTAGTGTTCTAAATGAAAACGACAGTGTAAACACTGGCAAAATGGAAATTGTGGAACCTTTCATACTGACTGAAGTCAAATCATTAGCTTCTAAAAATGATGATACTAGTGGCCTGGACAGAATTGTGAATATGTTAGTTACTGATCTATTACCCATTGATGTGATTAGAGGGCAGGGTATAAAGCAATTAATCGCTGATATAGAAGATATCGACAATAATTTGGTGAGTAGAAAATTTATAATATAATATATATAAATATATAAATATATATATATATAAATAATATTTCTGCCAGAGTCCTAATACTACTACTATATATAAAGTCTGTTCCACGAGCTACTCGTAGTAACTTTGAGTAAAACTATATATAACAAATACTTTCCACCAGCAAATTTTCAAGTAAATGAGAGCATCTAAGAGAGCGTAATATCCCTATTGAAATTTGAAAATGCTACACAAACTTTACTCTTACAATTTATTTCAAGTAAAATTTGTGTAAATCAGCTGTTTTGGTTTGAATTTAAATTTTTGTATTGTTTATTTTTGCGGCATTTGTGTTCTCTCCAAACTTTACACAAAGCTTTCCATGAAAAGTTCCATGAAAAGTTGTGTAAAGAGCGTAATTTGGCACTTTATTTGTGTTACGCTCTCAATTTTTACTTTACTTATGTCTTACTTGAGTAGCCCCTGGAACATATCTATAATAGATAATTTCCCAAAAACACGGTATGGGGCATACGCAGAGTGATGTTTTGAGAAAAATTAAAGTAACGGTTTTTCACAAATAACGGGAAGACGGTACACTAGTAAAAATAAATCATTGATTTTCAAATTTTGCCGAAAATTTTACTATAGAAAATGTAGGTCTCGTCTTTGGAAATTTTTGGCTGTAAACTAGTGTTTTTTATCATATAACACTATATATAAAATTATATATATATATATAAAATATAACACTATAATTCATTGTCCCTAATTTTGTCATACTAAATTTAAGAATTTATACTAATATCTTAGGACTCATAAATCAAATTAAAAACACTTTTGCTTATACACTAACTATTTTGAAGTTCAATATAAGAAGCTTTCACTCTCTCTCTCTCTCTCTCTCTCTCTCTCTCTCTCTCTCTTCAGAGAAATGGTTTTCAATTTGTTTAGAATCTCGATCAGTATAATCAAAAAATATATTATTGAAACCTATATATGCATTTATTTAGTAGTATCCAAATTCTGCACTTTAGTTCATTTAACGAATTAGTTCTTCACTAGTTGGTTTTCATATCACAAAGTAATACTGGATTCACACTAGAGTTTTGTTTGTAGTTTTAGCTGTCAAAAATTTTCATTTTGCATTGAAAACAACAATAATTGACAGCTAAAATTATAAACAAAACTTTCGTGTGAATCTATTATAATTCGAAATTTAAGTTCAATAGTTCAATAGATGTTTAACAGTTTATTTAATTCTATAACATATATCGTTAAAACTTGTATGATATGTTATATAAAGAAGGAACAGACAACATATTTTATTAATATATTTTAATATGTAATATATTTTAATATGTAATATATTTTACCCTTTTCATTTATAACAATATATAAAATATACAAATCTACAACAGTATTATAAAGTAATCAAAACATATTGGCAAGATTTTTTATGCCTCTATAATGCTTCTAAAGTTGTTTTCATAAACCGATGATGCCTCCTACTTTTGTCGTTATTGGAATGAGAGAGCGATACTTCATTGCTTAAATAGGTTGTTGTTGTTGTTGTAATCCTCTGGGACATACTTCTGAAGTCCTTTTGTGAGGTGTGACTCTGGATGCTGTTATACAAGAGTACTTTATACTCTAGGCACATCGAAGATCTGTTATTAATGATCCGGTGCAACTTAGAGGCTTGGAGTTTCATCTGAATTTTTTTGGCTTCAGTATGCTTGCGCCAAGTTAGTCATCTGTCAAGGTGAATACCTAAGTACGTTGTGATATGGGAATGTTATTTAGTAAAATTGTTGGAGATGTACTCCGATTTAAAGTAAGACTGACGTGTTTATATTCTAGTTCATTAATTTTAATTCGACATTTTTACAACCTTTTTTCAACCCAAAATAAGTCAGATTAAAGTTGGTTTGAAATTGAATAGGTTCAGTTTCTGAAACTTAATTGTAATTAATATTATTGAACCCATCATAGATATATACAGAGAATTTAAATGATATAATAGTAATATACAAAAACAGAAATATAATTAACATATTCAATAATATTTTTATATTTTCTATTTCAGATTATGAACAGATTGTGTGAAAGTTATGACAAAATGTTCGCAGTCATTTCTAGTCACATTCAAAAAATATCTCAAAAAACTACATACTCACTTAGCTTCGAATATATGGAAAATGTGGAGAAACTAAATATATTAAGTATATATTTTAACTACTACAACAAGGATTCCAGTGAACTATCTAATATATTATATTATTGTGTTGAAGCTTCCAATTTTGCCTCAATTCATTTATTTAATGATTTAGAATTAAATAATTGTGCAGCTATTATTACTAATTCTTGGACATCGGATGTCACTAGTTTTGTGGCAAAATATGGTAACTACTATTATATATCATTACTTCTATGAGATATGTTAAGCTTATAGGATTATGTGTAAAATATTTTGAGTTAATTACATTTTCAATTTATGCATAAATAATATATTTTCTAAATTTTCTAGTTAAATTAACGAGATCGTTAAAAAACTTATTTAAGTTATGTTAAGCTTAAGTTATTTTCTATTAAATTATTCATTTTAAGGTATTTAAATTTTAAATAAATAATTATCATATAATTTCAGATATACCAGCTTTCAAATGTCTTTATGCGGAGTTAACGGAATGTTTAACCAAGATTTTTAATATATCAATCATATCATCAGCCTTTAGTAATTTATATAAAGTGATACAAAAACATTATTTGAAAGATGATTTGAAGGTATGATTACAATAATTTGTTTATATACATATATATATTTTGTTATTGACATGTTAATATCAAAAATATATTTTATTAGAATATTCCGGAACTCTTTTATCCTTGTCCTTGGTCGAAGTTGAATTTTTTGTTATATTTTTTTGAAGAGATTGATTTATGCAATGCACCTTATGAGACTGAGTTACTGAATGAAATGAGTACTTTCGCAGAATTTCTAAAACCACTTAAGGTATAGTAAAAATAAACTATAGTTTTTGTAAATATATTTTTAAATAATTTTTATTAATTTTAACTATTTTTAGTTAATATTAAATGCTTTAGTTGAAGAGCCATTTCCCTTTTGTACAATGATGCGTCCATTTATAATGAAATTATTTAAAGATCACTTTCTAACTTATAATATAAAAAATCAATACCTAATAGAAGCACATAATATTCTTAGTACTGATGTATCTAAAAGGTATGTTGTACAAAATATATAATTAATAATATAATTTAATTTTACTATTTATTATTTTATGCTTAAAAGAATTTTAGACAATAAATTTTTAAGTGAAGCAATGTTTCTTGATGGGCGCTTCCAGCAGGATTTTATCAATTCAGGAATAAATGATAGAGGGGTTGTAAAAGAAAGGATTTTCAATCGTTTTAAGTCATTTATTGAAAGTACAAATGACAATGTACCTGATACATCCACAGTCGATGTTGAGTGTAATAAACGCAAAAGTGGTAATATTATTCATTGTGCATTTATAAAAACATTAATTTATTGACTTGATTTTCTTTTTTCAGGTTTAAAATCCTTTTTTCATTCAACATTTAATGGTACTAATTCAACCGGCAGCTTGAACAATAGGTCCATAATGAGAAAATCTAGTATAGAAATTGAATTCGATAAGTATAGATGTGAGCCGGTTTTAGACTTAGGCTGTTGTCCTTTAAATTGGTGGCAAGAGAATTGCTTAAGTTATAAAAAGTTAAGCTATATTGCACAGTATTATTTAAGCGTACCATGTTGTGCCAGTCGCATATATCATTATGATGATAACGAACGTTGGCTGTGGCAGAATAAACGATATATGCTACGAAATTATAATCGCGCCGAACAATGTTTATGGTATTTATATTACAATAAAGCAGATTATGATAAATTAAGTAAATAATGTTAAAGAATTAAATGTATTTTAAATGTTTTATAAATGTTAGTGTTAACGAAGATTTTATAAATATATTAACAGTTTTCCTTGTAAAAAAAAATTACATTTTGTTACTGATATAAGCATGACATCAACTTTATCATTTTATATAACTGGGCTTCGAACCGGAACCGAACCGAAAAAAACCGATGCTTTTGCAGGAACGACAACCAAAACCGAACCAATATATTTTTTTTCTTTTGAACCGAAACAAAAACCAGAAAGGAAAAAATTCCGGTTTGAAGCACTGTTATATACTACTGTGATTAAATAATAAGGTTTAGTTTTTAATTTCGGGCTTATCGATTTAGGTTGGTTGTATTGACATTGGCATCTAAGTGAAATCTCATGCCAATGTCTACATTTATGCAATAGTTACGCAAGTATTTCTTGAACAATAAAAAAGTTAATGTTGCAATGTATGATTTTGTTTAGCAAGTAACGGTGAATACTCTCAAACAATACTTTCTGGCTAAATACTAAATACGCCGCAGTTACAAGTTACGTGATCCATTCGATCAGTCAAATTTTTGCCTATTTTTTGCAATAAATGTGGCCGTATGGTGTCAATGGTGGCATGAGCATTGGGTTCCAATGCTTTAAGTGTTACTGGTTTGTCGGTTGTAGGCATAAACCAATTACTTAACATAACCGCATAAAAAATAATCGAGAGGCGATAAATCGCACGAATGAGGTGGCCAATTAACAGATTAACTTTTGAAAATAAAGTGTTCGATTACCAAATATATCGATTGTTAACTGCGCTGTATGACAATATCTGTCGAACCAAATGTCATCAAGGTTTAACTAATTGATGCCACCAGCGTGTAAACCGCACCAGTAAACTAAACAATCAATTTTATTAGATGAAATGGTCATTCGTTCACGGTTTGATGCCTTATCTTCACTTCATATATAGCAATTTTCATTATTGACATAGCCATTTAATCAGAAATGAGCTTTATTACTAAACACAATTCTTAGACGATGGTGATTCGTCAAATAATCTGACAACAGCCTTAGCTTGGAAATTGAAATTGAGATGAATTTCTTACCGGCGAGCATTTTTTTGAGATCAGCGAATAGCCAGTAGTCGCTGGGGCCAGATCTGGACTATACGGCGGATGAGCAAAGTGCAATTCGTGCAATTTTGCCATCATTTTTATTGTCTTGTGACATGGTGCATTGTCTTGGTGAAACAAAATTTTTTTTTTCGCCACATGCGGTCGTTTTTTTACAATTTCTGCTTCCAAACACTGCTCTGAATCATCAACACGTTGCTGTTTTTGATTGACTTTGAGTAAAAGCGGCTCCCACTTTGAAAAGAGCTTTCTCGTGGTCAAATGTTCATGCATAATTGTAAACACACTACTTTCTGATATATTTACGGTCTCAGCTATCTCATGCAATTTCAATTGACGATCAGTTATAACCAATTTCTGGACTTTTTGATGTTTTCTGGAGTAACCACCTCAATTGAACGACCAGAATGTTCACCACCATCGGTGTATGTACTAGTGCTGTTCACATTATTCGAAGTTTTTAAAAATTCGAAGTTCTTCGAATATTCGAATATTCGCATTTCAACGAAGTCTTCGAAGTTGGAAAAAACTTCGAAGTTTTTGTGAATTTTTGTTCTCGAAGTCTTCGAAGTTTAAATGTAGTGAAAAACTTCGAAGACTTCGAAGACTTCGTAAGCAAAAGGTGAAGTGAGAGCGCACAATGCAAACAAACGTGCATCACACAAATTATTTGAGGGATGAAAGCGTTTGCTTTGTTTGTACGGTTTTATGTTTTTTGTTGTTATTCTATGCAGAAAATTAAAAACATGTTTTTTTGTTTTATTTTATTACATAAAATTTATTTTATTATTTTATTATTAAATATGTATTATAATATATATTATTTTTAAATATGTTATTATTAAATATTTTTTATATTAAATAAAAAATTCACATTTTAAATAACTTATATTTATTTTTTATATTTAAAAAATTATATTTATGAAAATTTTTAATATAATATAAAATACATGAAAATTTGATGGAATTTCTTTTATACAATTTTGCTTATACACTAATTTACATTTTATTTAGATACTTCCTTATAATATTATGTATTTCTTTTCCTAGAATAAGGGATTTAAAAATTTTCCATAAACAGTAAAATAACTGTAACTACAACAAAACATTCAAAATTTTATAATGCAAAAATAAATTTGCGCTTACCTGCGTGATCATCACAGCTCATACAGGTCAAATAATTAGGCATTAATGAGCGAAACTCATTTTTCCATAACTAATTTTCAAGGTTTTAATTTGTGATTTTCTTTTTAAAGGAAAATGAAAATTTTTATAAAATTCCATTACTAATAAAATCCATCAATATCAATATTTTCATATTATTACGTATATATTTTATATTATATTAAAAATTTTCTCAAATATGATTTTTTAAATATAAATAATAAATATAAGTTATTTAAAATGTAAATTTTTTATTTAATATAAATAATATTTAATAATAACATATTTAATAATAATATATATTATAATACATATTTTACTAATAAAATAAATTTTATGTAATAAAATAAAACAAAAAAACATGTTTTTAATTTTCTGCATAGAACACCAAAAAAAAAAATACAAAAACGTACAAACGAAGCAAATGCTTTCATCCCTCAAATAATTTGTGTGATGCACGTTTGTTTGCATTTTGCGCTCTCACTTCACCTTTTGCTTCCGAAGTCTTCGAAGTTTTTCACTACATTTAAACTTCGAAGACTTCGAGAACAAAAACTCACAAAAACTTCGAAGTTTTTTTCAACTTCGAAGACTTCGTTTACTATTCGAATATTCGAATTTCTTCGAATACTTCGTAAATTCGAATATGAACAGCACTAGTATGTACGACCACGTTTAAATTCAGCAAACCAATAACAAATGTTTTTTTTCGATGGAGCAGAGTCCGGATAACACTTTTGAAGCCATTGCTAAACTTGTACAGTATTTTTTTTATCAAGAAGCAATGATAAATTAACACACGAAATTGTTTTGAATCCATTGTTTTCTAACCAATCGAAATGTCATGAAATTTTACACATAGTATTTTGAATGTTGGTACTTCATAAACGTCATATGGATTTGACAATGGCAGCGCCATCTGTGTATCAATCACACGACTTATTGAGTAATGTGTTGCTTTGTGTTATACCACATTTACCAAAACTGTTAGTATTGCTTTAATTTTTTTCTATTTACATGGATTTAATTTCTTAATATATTATTAACCCAGTTAAAGCACTTATTTAAAAATATCCAAAAATAAAAAAATACAAAAATAATTTTTGCTTATTGATTTAAAATTAAAAATTACTTTATTTTCATTCTTTTTCACACAGTATAAAGTGGAAAATGTTCAATATCATATAATAAACTTTGTATATTATGCATTGTATAAAAACAAAACAACTGAGCGAAAAGAAATTGTAGTAAGCGATTTTTTATAAAACAATATATATAAATTATATAAATTATATAAATTAAATAAATAAATACTACATTGTTTTGTAAACAAGCAATGCCTACAAAATTTTTTACATTATTCCTTTTTTATATTTAAATCTTTATAGAAAAAAAAACGTAAATATCGCTTCTTTTAATGTATAACAATTGGTGATTTTTTGTTTCTTAACTCATTTAACAGGCTACTTATAACATTTCTCATTTAAAATAATTTTTTTTTCATTTCAAAAATGTATGATTATGCAGTTCTCAATATTATTACTTTCTCTAATTTATATTTTTATTAATTAACAATTAAAATTATTTTTGTATTGAGGGCATATTATTTATTTCATTTTATTTATGTATTCTTACTATTCCTTCCTTGTTCAGTTTACTTTAAACAAATATTCTTTTAAAACAAATTTTTGTTCACTAATATTGCTTTTATTTTAATTTAAACTTAATTAAACTTTGGAACACGAACAATATCGCATCGCTTTTTTTATTGTATAAATTGTTTAAACAAAGTATTTTAAAATAGTTTAATATTCTTTAAGCCGCTTGTGCCCTTTTTTATTATTATAAATTAGATTTTTTGTTTCCCTAAAAATTTTGGTTTTCAGTTTAATTTTTTCTTTTTATATTATATATATATTTTATTTATGCAACAATTCTCTGCTTTCAACACTTTAGAGGCTCAGAAATTGTTTGTCAATAATTCGGTTTGGTTTTTGCTTCAGATTTTTATTCTATAAATACTTAAGAAAATAAAAATAATATTGTATTTTAAGCTATTTTTTTAAAATTATAGCTTTTGCTTTTGTTACATTTGCTTTATTTTTTAGTTTATAAATTATTGTTGAAATTAAATGCTGCAGCTTATAGTGGTTGGTGTTGTTCTTGATGTTCTCACATTTATATTTTTTTGCAAGTTTCGACCATATTTTCTTACGTACTCATTGGTTCCACATAGTTAGCTGGATATAAACCGACACGACCATTCATACGCCCTTTGCACCAACCTTGTTCATCTTCATCCTCGAGTTTTTCGAAAATATCACCTAAAATGGAAAAAAAATTATATATTTTATGGTATTTTATTTTATATATTATAATGCAGCAAAATAAAATATATAAAAATATAATATAAATATAAATATAAATATAAATGTAAATATAAATATAAATATAAATATAAATATAAATATAAATATAAATATAAATATAAATATAAATATAAATATAAATAAAATATAAATATATAAATATAATATAAATATAATATAAATATAAATATAAATATAAATATAAATATAAATATAAATATAAATATAAATATAAATATAAATATAAATATAAATATAAAAATAAAAATAAATATAAATGTAAATATATATATAAATATAAATGAAACATAAATATAAATATAAACATATATATAAACATATATATAAACATATATATAAACATATATATAAACATATATATAAACATATATATAAACATATATATAAACATATACATAAACATAAATATAAATATAGTCAAAGTTTCATCACTCGAAGTACCATTTTGTAAAGAATAGGTTTGACTTATGGAGACTTCGAGTTAAACAATTTTATTGTAACTGTATACCTCTCTCTAAACCCTCTTGCACTTTATTTAGTTTGAGTTATAGAAAATTCGAGTTATAGAAGTTTTTGTTTTTTAAAAAGATTTCATTTGAATCAATATTTCGACTATATTCAACAGTTATCTTTAGGCTAGTAAAATGTTCTTATACATTAACATCAAAACATGAATAATAATATAGAGAGAATAAATATAAAATACATTGACAATAAAATATAAAATACATTTATAAAGAATTAATATATTTATCCTCTTCAAGATTTGTTGAAAGTTGTTGTATATCAGTATTATAATTGAGTCTGACGTTTATAGAATATAAAGATTTTCAGGAAAGAGCGTTTTCGTTAATTATTTTCTTGGTGTAACCCTTTACTTCATATTATTTTTATACTTTACGTTGTGTTTATGTCCAGCTATACGCGTCTTCAATTTGTGTTTTGTTGTACCAACCCTGAATATGACTATAATATATAGTCGAAATATTGGCTTAAATAAAATCTTTTTAAAAAACAAAAGAAATTTTTTTCTAAAGTATTTAAGTATTGACCAATTAGCCGGTTTAAAAAACAAAATTAGTATAAAGATAAATATAAATATATAATATATATATATAAAATATTATATAAATAGAATAAAATGTAGAATTTATCTTTTATAAATAGAGAAGAGAATAAAATATAATGAATAGAATAGAATAGAATAGAATAGAATAGAATAGAATAGAATAGAACAGAATAGAGTAGAATAGAATAGAATAGAATATAATAGAATAGAATAGAATAGAATAAAATAGAATAGAATAGAATATAAAAAATATTTAATAATAACATATTTAATAATAATATATATTATAATACATATTTACTAATAAAATAAATTTTATGTAATAAAATAAAACAAAAAAACATGTTTTTAATTTTCTGCATAGAACACCAAAAAAAAAAAACAAAAACGTACAAACGAAGCAAATGCTTTCATCCCTCAAATAATTTGTGTGATGCACGTTTGTTTGCATTTTGCGCTCTCACTTCACCTTTTGCTTCCGAAGTCTTCGAAGTTTTTCACTACATTTAAACTTCGAAGACTTCGAGAACAAAAACTCACAAAAACTTCGAAGTTTTTTTCAACTTCGAAGACTTCGTTTACTATTCGAATATTCGAATTTCTTCGAATACTTCGTAAATTCGAATATGAACAGCACTAGTATGTACGACCACGTTTAAATTCAGCAAACCAATAACAAATGTTTTTTTTCGATGGAGCAGAGTCCGGATAACACTTTTGAAGCCATTGCTAAACTTGTACAGTATTTTTTTTATCAAGAAGCAATGATAAATTAACACACGAAATTGTTTTGAATCCATTGTTTTCTAACCAATCGAAATGTCATGAAATTTTACACATAGTATTTTGAATGTTGGTACTTCATAAACGTCATATGGATTTGACAATGGCAGCGCCATCTGTGTATCAATCACACGACTTATTGAGTAATGTGTTGCTTTGTGTTATACCACATTTACCAAAACTGTTAGTATTGCTTTAATTTTTTTCTATTTACATGGATTTAATTTCTTAATATATTATTAACCCAGTTAAAGCACTTATTTAAAAATATCCAAAAATAAAAAAATACAAAAATAATTTTTGCTTATTGATTTAAAATTAAAAATTACTTTATTTTCATTCTTTTTCACACAGTATAAAGTGGAAAATGTTCAATATCATATAATAAACTTTGTATATTATGCATTGTATAAAAACAAAACAACTGAGCGAAAAGAAATTGTAGTAAGCGATTTTTTATAAAACAATATATATAAATTATATAAATTATATAAATTAAATAAATAAATACTACATTGTTTTGTAAACAAGCAATGCCTACAAAATTTTTTACATTATTCCTTTTTTATATTTAAATCTTTATAGAAAAAAAAACGTAAATATCGCTTCTTTTAATGTATAACAATTGGTGATTTTTTGTTTCTTAACTCATTTAACAGGCTACTTATAACATTTCTCATTTAAAATAATTTTTTTTTCATTTCAAAAATGTATGATTATGCAGTTCTCAATATTATTACTTTCTCTAATTTATATTTTTATTAATTAACAATTAAAATTATTTTTGTATTGAGGGCATATTATTTATTTCATTTTATTTATGTATTCTTACTATTCCTTCCTTGTTCAGTTTACTTTAAACAAATATTCTTTTAAAACAAATTTTTGTTCACTAATATTGCTTTTATTTTAATTTAAACTTAATTAAACTTTGGAACACGAACAATATCGCATCGCTTTTTTTATTGTATAAATTGTTTAAACAAAGTATTTTAAAATAGTTTAATATTCTTTAAGCCGCTTGTGCCCTTTTTTATTATTATAAATTAGATTTTTTGTTTCCCTAAAAATTTTGGTTTTCAGTTTAATTTTTTCTTTTTATATTATATATATATTTTATTTATGCAACAATTCTCTGCTTTCAACACTTTAGAGGCTCAGAAATTGTTTGTCAATAATTCGGTTTGGTTTTTGCTTCAGATTTTTATTCTATAAATACTTAAGAAAATAAAAATAATATTGTATTTTAAGCTATTTTTTTAAAATTATAGCTTTTGCTTTTGTTACATTTGCTTTATTTTTTAGTTTATAAATTATTGTTGAAATTAAATGCTGCAGCTTATAGTGGTTGGTGTTGTTCTTGATGTTCTCACATTTATATTTTTTTGCAAGTTTCGACCATATTTTCTTACGTACTCATTGGTTCCACATAGTTAGCTGGATATAAACCGACACGACCATTCATACGCCCTTTGCACCAACCTTGTTCATCTTCATCCTCGAGTTTTTCGAAAATATCACCTAAAATGGAAAAAAAATTATATATTTTATGGTATTTTATTTTATATATTATAATGCAGCAAAATAAAATATATAAAAATATAATATAAATATAAATATAAATATAAATGTAAATATAAATATAAATATAAATATAAATATAAATATAAATATAAATATAAATATAAATATAAATATAAATATAAATATAAATATAAATATAAAAATAAAAATAAATATAAATGTAAATATATATATAAATATAAATGAAACATAAATATAAATATAAACATATATATAAACATATATATAAACATATATATAAACATATATATAAACATATATATAAACATATATATAAACATATATATAAACATATACATAAACATAAATATAAATATAGTCAAAGTTTCATCACTCGAAGTACCATTTTGTAAAGAATAGGTTTGACTTATGGAGACTTCGAGTTAAACAATTTTATTGTAACTGTATACCTCTCTCTAAACCCTCTTGCACTTTATTTAGTTTGAGTTATAGAAAATTCGAGTTATAGAAGTTTTTGTTTTTTAAAAAGATTTCATTTGAATCAATATTTCGACTATATTCAACAGTTATCTTTAGGCTAGTAAAATGTTCTTATACATTAACATCAAAACATGAATAATAATATAGAGAGAATAAATATAAAATACATTGACAATAAAATATAAAATACATTTATAAAGAATTAATATATTTATCCTCTTCAAGATTTGTTGAAAGTTGTTGTATATCAGTATTATAATTGAGTCTGACGTTTATAGAATATAAAGATTTTCAGGAAAGAGCGTTTTCGTTAATTATTTTCTTGGTGTAACCCTTTACTTCATATTATTTTTATACTTTACGTTGTGTTTATGTCCAGCTATACGCGTCTTCAATTTGTGTTTTGTTGTACCAACCCTGAATATGACTATAATATATAGTCGAAATATTGGCTTAAATAAAATCTTTTTAAAAAACAAAAGAAATTTTTTTCTAAAGTATTTAAGTATTGACCAATTAGCCGGTTTAAAAAACAAAATTAGTATAAAGATAAATATAAATATATAATATATATATATAAAATATTATATAAATAGAATAAAATGTAGAATTTATCTTTTATAAATAGAGAAGAGAATAAAATATAATGAATAGAATAGAATAGAATAGAATAGAATAGAATAGAATAGAACAGAATAGAGTAGAATAGAATAGAATAGAATATAATAGAATAGAATAGAATAGAATAAAATAGAATAGAATTGAATAGAATAGAATAGAATATAAACAATATATTGGAGTTTTATTCAAATTTAACGGTAGTTCTGATCTTGTTGATGAGGATGGCCAAGTTAATAATAAATAAAAATAGAAAAAGTTTTTGAGAATATTTGATTTTAGACAACGTCTATGTTTCCAGTAATGATATGTTAATTAAACTTCTAGAAAAGACCTAAAAAAGGCATAGAAAATACCTTGTCAATCGTAAACTATATTGTGGCTTGGGAAGAGAGGCAACACTGAAAAACAATGCAATGTATTTTTATGTAAATAAATAGTCCATTATATATCAAAAAGTAGTGAGCATTTTTAATTCTTTTAATAAATATTTTTTTAATTTTTTAAGAACTGCGGCTTCGCCTTCTTGGTATTTATTTTTGAAAAATATTTTCTGAGTATCTTTCTGAGTTTGAGAAATAGAATAATGCCACGGCTTCTACGTGTGCAGAATAGGGTGGTTCCATTGATATTATGTTTTATCGCGAATTATAATGCAACTAATTTTTTATCATTTTGCTGATTCTTGTTTCGTGGCAATAATATACATAACTATCGTCCTATTTAATTTTTAAAATTAATATGTTTAAGTTTTTTCCATACTTTTATTTTTTATTTTGACGCACATGGTTGCAACCTGGATTTCATGTCATGTGCAATAACTTTTAGGCTTTTTTGAAAGCACATTTATCATTCAAAAACTCGCGATTGTTGTTATATTGTCGTTGTTAAATACTTTTTTTTAACATTTTCAATAATTTGTTGCATTTAATTTCTATTCCACACAAACTCTCGGATCCGGTGTTTTGCCACATAAAAAATGTCCAAACATATTAATTCACGTCTTCAACTGTCACGATCAACTGTCTGACAGTAAATACGTATGTCACTAGCTGTGTAACCAATACACAAAAAAAAATAATAGTCTAGATTAACAAGATTAATTACGTAGATTTTTAATATTATCGTTAATTTTTAACGATACGAAGTAGTAGGGTTTTTCATCGCAGCATATAATTATTTTATGTTTATATATATATGCTATATACACATTTATTTTTTCTCTTATAAATTATAAATATCAATTAATTAACTTTTCAATACCTTGTTTAAACGATAGTTCATCACTTTCAGCGCCTTCATAGTCATATAGAGCTTTTACAGGCACACCTGGTTCACCATTATCAACCAAAACATTATCAGTATCATCCCATTCCTCTTCCTCTTCAAATGGATTGGGATCGGCTTTGCCATTACCATTACTGTAAAGAATTTATCAACATTAGTTATTATTAATAAAAAGTGGGTGCGGAATGGATGAAGATTAAATATATATACGGAATACAAGCATATATGTATTTGCATATGAAGAATTTCACACTTCAATGGTTTATTGTTAAACGTTCTAACAATTTTCACTTACGTTACGCCTGAATTACGATTACTAGAAGCTGCCGCCGCCGTTGCATTTGCACCAGCGCTTTTGTTACTTCCAACGGTTGTTGTAACTGTGGATGATTCTTGTTGCTGTTGAACGGTTTTTCCACTAGATTTGTTCGATGTATTCTTCTTGAGACTATTTGTTGTTTGATACTCCTAAAGAGGTATGAAATTGAGACATAAATCATAGAAGTCGAATCCTATAAACTTAATAATAATATATAAATAGACTATATTTACATGCACATCCTCAGCTACAGGTCGTTGATTGATGAGCATTATTGGTGCTGCTGGAAGAGCTTCTTTTGATTTGCTACCTTTCGCTATATCTCGGAATTCTTCAGTATATTCCTAAATTTGAATGACAAAAGAGAAATGTTATTATTATATTAAAGCACAACTATATTTAGTGTTTAAAATAATTATATTTACAATAAATGCAGGCCAGTTCATTGCCATATTCACGCCATGATTATTTGACCACCATTTAAGATCTTTTTGT